CCATTTTCTGTAAAACTTCGTCGTTACTCACATGTTCGGTCCATAATATCCTCAGCATCTTTCTGTAGAACCACACCTCTGTCTTCAAGTCCCTTCTTCATCTTTGAAGAGATTGTCAGCATTCATTGCCATACAGAGGACAGAGGCACCTTGACGTAGTGTAATGGTTAGCAAGCTTATCTCGTAAGAACACTTACGACTGAGTAGGGAATTTGTTCATCACTAAGTGCCCCATATTTTTGGCCTTGTGCCACATCTAACCTACGGTTAGAAATTTTTTTTTCTATTTCTTATTACTCCGCTTGCCATTTGGAATGCTTCCTTGGCTATTCCAATACGACTTCGGATTTCAGTGTCATATTTTAGCGAAAGGATGAGCCCAAAGTACGAATTGCAAATCGGTTACGAATATAATGTCAACTGTATAAATAAATTCTATACTCCCAAAATAAAACGTACATTGCTTTTTTTTTATTGGGAAGAGATATCTTTCTTGTCAAGAATTAGATTAAAATTATTATCCGGATTCTTTGTTCTTTCATTCCAGTTTCCACTCCAAGAGCCACATTCTGATACGCGTAATTGGCTGTACCCGGGATTCTACCAATATCTGCGACCTGCTCCACGGTCTATGCACCCAACTGCAAGATATATTCCAGATCTCTGCACCTGTCCCCACGGTGAGTTTACGATAAACAACAACGTATTTTAAACATTTACTAATTTTAATTTGGCCTAGTCTGGTGCAAGGTCACAAGTACAGAGCGCCCAATGAGGATCGCATTCACTACAGTAGGAATTGTAAAGTAAATAGTATGAACCGAAAATAAAGCCTAAAAGACGATCTGAGCAGTTGCGATAGAAGACAGCTGAAATTAAGATGAAAGAAATCTATATTATAAAAGCGCTGATGCTCTGTCACACACAGTCTGAGTGTGACTTGCTTGTGCGGATGTAATGTATCTTTTATAATATAAGGCCCAAGAGCCACTCAAGGTAAAGGTTGAAAGTAGATAACGTTTGATCTGTTAGAGTGAAACACACCTATTATATAGTTAATAGACTCTCCCACCTAATATAAGTAGGAGTAGTAATAGAAACGGGGGTCGGTCAGTCAGTCGATGTCAGACGACAGTTAGTCGAATACGAAAGTATCAGCGACCACAACAAGATTTCTCTGCGTAATACCTATTATATCAAGTTCCTAACGTTTTGTACGTCGAACCTATTTTAGGACCGATTTAGTACAAATACAAGCCTCCACTGCGAAATCACTCCACAACATGATCCGAGAATCGAAAAATAAATTTAGCTGGATGTTTTTGTTTAGCAGCATATCAACACCTCTATGAGTCACTTAATGCCGAAATCTAAGTATGAAAATTCCAACTTTATAATTAATTCAAGAGAAAGACATTATTTCATCATTAGATTATAATTACTTAGCTGCATTTTTTTAACCAAATAATCTTACAAAATAAAACGAGGAGTGAAAATGTGTTTCTCTGTACAAGAAATGAAAATAATTATATCAAGAATCTCTAAATATATAACAGGAAGACCGGACCACATGTGTCAGCAATATTCAAAGCAGTATGGTAGACTTATAAATATGTAAGATAGATTCAGGAGAGAAAAATTATCTAGCATGACACATTGAGCCAAATTACTTAATAGCTGACCTACCAATGGATTTAATATATTCATTCCATTTCATGTTAGCCTGAGAAGGCGCAACGAATTACTTCTATGGAGCTTGTATATATATATATATATATATATATATATAATTCTTTATTTAAAAATATGATTCCAACACGCTACATAAGAGTTCTCATGTTTCAAAACAAGAGCCGAAAACTTCAATATAATCATTTGAATTAAATTGAATGAAAGTACTAAGCTCTTTTTTTTTGGAATAACTTATTTCTGAAATTTACGCGTTTTATAAGCATATTCATTATTGAAATCAAAATTTCTATGGTAACGGCTAGAGCAATTGTTTAAATTGTTTACACTTCCCGTCCCATTACACCCAATATCCTGACTGTTATTATTTTTTTTAAAAAGATAATTGTCAAGCGCTCTTTGTGGGTTTTTAAAATAAAGCGTTAAGGTAGTCATTTTTAAATTATCGTCCAACGAGACCGCCAGGTCGAAACCGTGGTTGCGTATTTTAATTGAACTCCTGCTTTTTAAACTAGGGCTAACCATTTTTCCCCACATAACCTCATAAACTGTGCCTCTTGCCTTTTACTATATGGAACCGACTCGCAGGAGGGATGCTTCCCCGATCACTCCAATCTTAATCTGTTCATGTCTGGTTAATCGTTATCCTCACCACATATCCGTTTAAACTCTGCTTCTTATTCTGTAACCTCTACACCAAGTGGCTCTCGGGCCTTTTACAGGGTGAATCTGACTTGTTCACCTATATTGCAGATGATCTATCATTGTACATAAATAGGTTACAATAAAATTTGTATTTTATATGAAAATTGAGATGTAGTAGAGTGGTGGGGCTGTATCATAGATTAGGTGTGTAGTGGGGAGTCACATGACCCTTGTACCAGCTGTGTGTCTATTCCATAACCTCTTTCTATGCTGTATTTGATTTCTATTTGTACACTTGTAGTTTTAATAACAAAAGTATCTTTTTATTTTTATTAAATGACGTACACTAAAGCATTTTAATTATTCATTTTGATTATCATTGTCCTACATCTTAATTCTTTATTTACTTTTTATAGTAACTTTGACAATGTTTTATTTGATAAAAAAATTAAAAATGTCAATTTTTCTTCCTAGGATTACATCGGTCTAATCAACCAATTTTCGCAGATATTGAGTTGCGCACGCGCAACTGAAAAGCTTGTGATTTTTCTGGATGGAATTGACCTCTTAGAAGGTTGGTAGCACATCCTGTATTTTTCACGTGCCAACAGAAACAATGCTAAAAGTAAAACTTATATCATTTACATCCCAGGGTATTATAAGCAGATCCCCAATAACAAAATCAGTCCTTTAGTTAACTGGCTTCATTTCCGAGATTTGGGCATTACATTAATGTCTTATGGGCTGGTGAAACGCTTTATCTATTTACTAATCCACATATAGAAGGCACCTAATGGAAAAACAGCCATTCTCCAGCAGATTAATCATTTGTGAGGATAATACGATTCAACAAAACCTAACATGGAGAAAGTTTCCAATGCTACAATCAGATATGGTCAATGTCCTAACCAGTGACAAGAGACCAAAGGAACACATTACCAACCCCAGACCAATGTGACAATATTAATAAATGGGTTCGAGGTGGATGGGGGAGGGTGAATAAGTCATGCTAGTTCACAATCTGCCGGCGATTTGAACAACGACTTCTTACTTTTTATGTGCCATACAAGTTTCTTCCTTCTGCTTCCTCTCCCAGACCACCTTCTGTCATCCACTTGCTTAAGGCCGCTAGGTATGTTCCCTTGTCTCTCTTTCCCTCTGCTCGACCCGTGAGTATCAGATTCTCCAGGCCCTCCTTCCTCATTATGTGTCCCAAAAACTTCAGCTGCCTCTTCTTGATATAAGAATAAGCCTCCTCCTTGTTTTCAACCTCTCTAAGATCTCATTGTTGCTCACACACTCGGTCCATGATATCCTTAGCATCCTTCTGTAGAACTACATCTCTGTCGCCTCGGCTCTCTTCTTCATCTTTGAGGAAATCCTCCAACATTCGCTGCCGTAAAGAAGGACAGATGTCACGTAACAGTTCAGTATTCTTTTCTTTGTTACCAAAGAAATCCTCCTGTCTCGCAGTATTCTGCCTAGCTTTTAGAATGTATCCTTGGCCATCCCAATACGCCTACGGATTTCAGTGTCGCACTTACCATCCTCTGTCAAGAAGATTCCCAGGTATTTAAACTTCCGCGTTTGCTCGATTGTAGTGTTCCCGACCTGAAAATCGCATTACGGGTTCATCATTTTACTGATAGACTAATGAATTTTAATAAAATATATTATAAAGAATTATATTATAAACATATATGATTTTTTTTATCAGGCTAATACCCCCGACGTTGTCGTTATATTTTTCTGGTTAAGTTTCTGACGTGTACCTTCTGACATTGCTAAGTCGTGACAAGCTCTGAGAGCTTTAAAACACTAGCTTCTTTATGTATCCCTATACCAGACTTTGGTAAACTTCATTCTCTGCCTTTTTTTTTATTTTCACAACTGTCGTGTCACTTCCGGCATTATTAGGTCATCTGTTGTATTTCAAAATGATGAATCCTATTTTTAGTTGCTGATCCCTAAGTTATTAGTGCTTTACATCATTAGTACAGTACAAACTTTCGCTTCTCCATATAGATCCATAACAAACTCAAGTAAACTACATTCTATGCCTTTCTTTTTTTTTTTTAGGTGCGCCAGAAGTAACGTTGCAATGGATCCCTAAAGAACTCCCCACGCATGTCCGTTTGATCATCTCGACGAGGTCCCAAGAAAAACATGGCTACCTGAAATTCTTAAAACAAACTATTACCCAACCAGACGTTTTTAAGGAAATATTGCCTCTAGACAAATCAGACACTGAAATACTCCTCGGTGCACTTCAAAAGCAGATTAAAGGAATCATATCTCCACAGAAAGAATTAGAAATAATTGATATACCCAAAACAGATCTATTTCCACTAAATATAGTTTTAATTGTAACGGAACATTTTTCAGCCGAAACTGTGCTTAAAACCACGGATCTGTCGGGATTTAATTACACCACTAAACAACTGATTACGCACAAGTTCGACGAATTGGAACAACAATTTGGACGTACGTTTGCACAGCGAGTTCTCGGATATCTGACCACTGCAAAGTTCGGTTTAGATTTCAATGAACTAGAAGCGGTACTTGTCATCGACAAAGTATTTGTGACTACAAGCCACTCTTCCTTCCAAAAGTTATCCCCATACCATCTTTTATCATTTCTTGCAGAGCTGAGACCCTATTTGCAGGAATGTGTCGATGGAATCTGCCGAGTTTTTTGCTGGAGCCACCGGATATTTTACGAGGAAGCCGAGGAGCGCTACCTGAAAAATCAGGTTCAAACAGCCACATACCACAGGAACCTGGCGACTTTTTTTAGTTCTTGTCCGCCCGCTTCAGACAGCGTCAATCCTGAAATGTTGTCCGATGCCCAACCGCTATTCTTCAATAACGGCAAGTCACTGACCAAAACATACTTTAATTACAGAAAGCTAACGGAGCTGCCTCACCATCTCGTGCGATCGCAGCAGACGGAAGCGTTCAAGAAAGATGTCGTCTTCTCTTTTGATTGGATGCAAGCGGAACTTCACGCGGTGTCATTTGCGAACGTATTGCGTGTGCAGAGAGAAGCGCAATCAATTGAACCTCAGAACCCGGAGCTCAGTATATTAACGACTGCGCTGCGACTATCCGAATCGGTGTTAAAGAGGTCGCCGGATCAAATTGCATCTCAACTTGTTGGTAGACTCTCCTCCTTGACAAATTCTCGATTTCACACTTCATCGGGAGAAGCTCTGAAATATCCGAATCTCAAACGACTTATAGAATGTGCCAGACATTCGTCATTTCCGGCGCTGTTACCTCTAGACACGTGCCTCATGGAACCAGGCGACGAACTACCATTTGACTTATACGCCCACGTTTCTACAATTAACGCAATGGATTTAAATGCAGACGGCAAGTTTCTGTTAACAGCTTCCAAAGATGATTCGATCAAAGTATGGGATATGTGCAATGGTCGAGTTGTTCGAAGTATCTGCGGTTTGGGGGCTCAGGTTTCTTCTTTAATTTGGGCCGTGAACAATACGTGTATCGTGACAGTCGAAACCGGTTTAATACGGGTATGGCTTCTTTCTGATCAGAAATGTCTCTACCGCTTTGAAACAGGTACTGATTCATTAGTGGTCACAGCGGTTTCAAATGCTAAAAATATCCAATCAGCTCTTCTGGTTGTTATATGTGACGGAACAAATAAGATCAATGTCTGGGACTTGCAAGACGGCAGCTGCCGAACCCACTCCGTCGGCCTCAAGGGAAAGTGTGTACATCAAAGTCGAACGTTCCTCCTGGCCCGAAACTGCCGGTCGACCTGTTTCTTATACTCCTTCAGAGATTCTAACGGTGCTGTTCTTCAGAACGCTACTAATGGTAACATCGTCTGCTCTTTGCAGTCTCGCGAGAGTTCGTCTACGGTTGTGGGCGTAGCTATCACTTCTGATTATCTCGTATTAGCCTGCCGGCAGCTCTACCTTAAGTCATGGGAAATTCACCAACTCGAACTATTTGATCCAGGGAATGGACTTTACCTCCGCAGCGTCCGGGGATGCCTACATGACATCGTTTCAAGCCCCCTGATCGTTCCTAGCACAGGTTCAAACATTCTTACGTTGAGTACATCGCAGCAAAATAATGCCTCAAATGTAATCGTGTGGAACCTCGAAACAGAAAGCCATAAACATCTTGCCAAACATCAAGGCATTAGTGAACTGTTGGCCTGTAGACATATGAATAGAGTTTTGACGGCATCAAGGGGAGACAACCATATTAAACAGTGGGATTTAAGCGTTAAAATAAACCAAACGTCTCCTGAACTGAAAGCTGTGTCGAACATTTTAAAAATTTTTGCAGTCGGAACGAAACTAGATTGTTTTGTAACTTTGACTTCAAATAATGGACCTATTGATATATGGATGATTAAAAGCGCTTTAAATAATATTTCTACAACACAGGAGGGCTTTTTAGATCCTTCTGATGTCGTTCTGGTAAAAAACACGAAGTTAGTTATTCTGTCAGAGCGGAGATTACCTAACATATCGGATGACCTAAATCAGGTTTTTCAATCGATTCTGATTTACGACATGGAGACGGAAAGTTACGAGCATAAATTATCTGGCTGTTATATCGACGTATCTCCGCCGCACGACTATGCGATTCTCTCAGGGGATCGACTTCTGGGGTTGTCCAGTAGTCGAAGCCACTTTATCATCTGGAGTCTATTAACTGGTCAAGTTGTCTATCGAATTAAATCTTGCTTCAAGGATTGGAACTGGGCTTATGAAATGGGATCGCGGACCTCTTCGAAACGTATCCAGGCAAGAGAGAGCTCGGCGAATATGACACCTTGGAAACAGCGTTCTGAGACGGTAAGCGCCCGCGCAAGGAGACGTGAACACGAGAAGGATGAGGAAAGATGCCGGCTTCAGGAGTTAAGGAAAGAAAAAGAAAATCCAGTGGATGGTTTTTTGGTGAGCAGAAACTATCAGATTTTGGTGGTTTCTTATTTCGCTCACCACTTGTGCATTTTTGAGATCGAGACGCAACAGCATTTGACGACCGTCGAGGACGAGAACGCCATGCTGTTCCTTCACGTAGCGGCGATGACCGCGGACGGTGAACACTTCGTCCACACGACTTACGACGAGATGAACAAGACGAGTTACGTCACTCTACGAGAGAGTCGTTTCGGACAGGTGAAACGTAGGCTGAAGAACGAGAAGGATGTCTGCGCCATCGCCCTTACTGATAGTGCCGATAGGGTTGTGATGGCCAAGCACACAAATGAGATTCATTTCTGGGAGCCAATGGTGACAAACTCGCTACGCAAGCGAAAACTTCCGAAATCAATGAAATTGGATTTTCACTGTCAATTGTTTCTAGTCAATAATGAACGTCGGGCTGTGCTTTTTGCAGGTCAAATTTCATTGTGGGATCTTGACCATGCCGAATTGATAGCAACATTCAGTCCCGAAAATAAAGTACTGTGTTGCAATGTTATTTCACAAGGAGACTATATTATTTTAGGCGTGTCAGGAATGACTCAGCCAATAGTTTTGACGGTGAAAAATGCCGAAATCAAAGTTCTAAAATCGTAACTTTTACCATTAATCTTTTACTGTTCCTAATATACCTATACAAAAAGAATGAATATATTTTACATGCTTAATATTTTTTGACTCACCTTATATGGTTAATAGACCTGGTTATATCTCTTAAGAATTTAACGTAAAATTTATCAATCCAGGAAGTGGAATCAGCGTGTTGAGCTCAAATTTTGGCCTAGTCATAATATATTAAAGTATAATGTTTTGGTACCGTAACGATGGCCTTAATCAGGACCGAGCTGCAAGCCTCATACAATAGAGTATAAAACTGATTTACTCAGAGATCCGAGGTCCAAGTGCTCAACGCATTCATCCTTGTCAATACAGGTCCATCAGCCTCCTCAGTGTCTTTAGCAAACTTTTAAAGTTATAATCAACAAGTTTTTGATGACCTCAATGGAAAGAACCTCTTGAGCAATGAGTAGTATGGATTTCAATCGGCTTCGTCCTTTACTGATATTCTGGCATCACACAATCAGTGAGGTACAAGACAACATATATCTCAAGGATGATTGCATTAGATATTTCAAAGGCCTTTGATAAGGTGTGGCAAAAAGAGATCTGAGGCCCAAGCGCTCAATGCAAGCATCCCCCAAAGGTTTGCTTCTTGGTTCAACCTTTTTTCTACTTTGCATAAATGATCTGCCTAAGAATATACTCTGTTTCATTTGTGAATATCTATGCTGATCATACAACGATATATATGGGTGTACCTTCTAAATGATAGATGACAAGAGCTTGGCAGCTGATCTCTCCTCTGATTGAGCTTTAACAGCTCAGTGGGAGAAAAGCTGGCTGGTCACATTTAATGCATCGAAAACCAAACTGGTGATGTTTCATCTTCACTGACCGGACCCCGAATTTTCACCTATTGCGATGAACGGGTGTTCTCTCAGAGAGACCTGTATTTTGAACACCTTTTGGAACATGCTCAACCTAGACCTCAAGTGGAACTCGTATATATGATTCGTCGCTAAAGATGCTGGAAAAATGGTTGCTTCCCTGTACCGCTCCAGCAAGTACCTTACTTTTCTTGCTATCCTCTACCATTACCAGAGACAGATTAGGCCGAAAATGGAGCACTGCTGACATATATGGACAGGAGCTGTCCAGTCTTCACTTTCCACTCTCGATAGAGTCCAAAAGTGTTTCTGCATCCTTGTGAGATGAATTATTTTCACTCCTACAACCCCTCTTCCACACACGAAATGTGTCAAGCTTCTCTATCACTATTTCCATGGAAAGTGTTCAGGCGAACTATATTCCTTAGTTTCACCAGTTCTAACGTTCATGATAAAAAAAAAACGCCCTACCATGCAGATTGTAGTGAACCACTCTTCGTATTCCAGTGGTGAGATGTAAGTTCCATTTGAGCATCTTCTTACCACGAGCCTCTGCTTCCAACTCCCAAGAGGATGCTTCCCCGATCACTATAATCTTAACCTATTCAAGTCTACGGCTAACTGTTCACTTCCTCACATATTCCCATAAACAGTGCCTCTTACTCTGTAGCTCTCTACCTCGAGTGGCAGTTGGGCCTTGTATAGAATGAACATCATTGTTAAAAAAAAAAAAAAGATGGCAAAAATAGTTCTCTTGGTAGACCCCATTTCCTTTCCAAGTATCATGCGACAGATACTGTAGGGTTACACAGTACCAGCAACAGGAAGTATCTGTGATTTGACAGAAACTAGAGACAAGGTTTATTTTGTATCATGTGACAATATTAAGTACCAAACTAAAAGAAATGTTTGAATGGATGCTGTCATTCTTCTCAGAATGCAGAGTGATCTTAGTGATGCCCATCTCCTTTCCAAGTATCATGTGACAGAGAATACTGGTTTACATGGTACCAGCAGCCAGTAGGAATTCACAACTCAACATAACTTAGAGATTGTTAGCGTGCCAATGCTGGACTTTTATCAAAGGAGTGTTATGTGGTGGCACCCATCTCATCTCCATCAGTTACAATTGTAGGCACAAATATACAGAGCTCTTTTGTTAATGTTGTAATGTTTTAGTTCAAGAGAAAAACCCACAGTTGGATATCTTTGTTAAACGTCTTTATTTACATATGTACATTTCTGGAAGCAGTCACAGTTTATCAAACACTAGCAACAGCGGAGTTGTTTATAACACTTTTTAAAAATCATTTCACCCCAAGCAGGGCAATAAAGCCACTAAGATGCAAGAGGTTACTATGTGTTAGAGAATATGAGAAAAAAATCACTATTAAGGAGAATGAACATTAAAAGAATAGAAATAAAGTAGTAGATAATGGCATTGCATTTAAATTCATCAAACATTGTGACATGCCAGTGTTAAGACCTTGGAGTTACAAGTGATATAAGCCACAACATAATTTATTAATTTTTTTTATTAAATAAGATGAAAATGTTGAATAAATTAATGAAAGTAGATATGTCTCAAATAAGAAATAATTTCTTGTTTCTAAAGAAAGTATTTGACTTATTGTGTTGTTTTTCTTTGACTAACTCTCTTGTTATTCATTGCTTTGTTGTTATAATGTTTAGTCTCCTGAAAACTAATCCCTAAGAAGGCAAAAAGATGAATGGCTCAAAGAGAAATGTGTAGAGAAAAACTGCAGAACACAGACATAGCAGGCATTGATAAAAAGATAAAAACAAGGTGGAAAACATGCTCTTCAACAGAAAGGCATAGTGTCTAAAAATATAATGTTCACAACAGAAAAAAAAAAGATTACATTACAACAAAAATGGAAGAAATACAATAAATAAAAATAGGGAAACAAAGTATTAATAAAATCGATAGACAGTTGATATTTCTGGGACACAATGAGCAAAGAGTACTTAAAAAACAGATGGCAAAGCAAGAGAAGCAGTGTGGGAACAGTGATTAACTTATTTTGGACATTAATGGATTACAGAACAGAAACAAAGGCAGGTGATAAAAGGTCAAAAGTTCACCATGATCACTGGGAGAATTTAACACTCACAGGATATTCTGAAAGAAAGAGAGTCTGTGTGAACAGATGGCAGGACAGTTAGGAAAAAAATGATGATAAATGGTTAAAAGTTAGAGCAACAAAAGACAGAAAGTTGTGGAGGGCCAATCCTGAAAATTATTGGAATACAAAAGTAGAAATAACTAAGTACTTCCTTAGCTGTTGGATTTATTTACTAAGTAGAGTTTTTTTTTCTGTTAGCACATGAGCATTCCTTAAAATCAATATATATTTCCACTTTTAAGAAATAAACTAATGTGAGGAACACCAGAGTGGATGGCAGAAAAGAACAAATTGGAAAAAATAAATAAGTAAAAATAAAAGCCAAAACAAAAAAAGGAATATAGTGGTCCCCAAAGATATTCGTGTTTTCGGATAGACTTAGCCAACACCAGTTCCTCAGTTTAGCTTAAAAACAGAAGTGCAAAAGTTGTGATCATGGAAGTTCATTTATACCAAAAAGAAATGGTAAAGTGCTTCCTTCAAGTGAAAGTATTAATGTTCTTCACTTAATATGTTGTTATAAGTGTTCTATTTTGTTATTAGTTATTGTTGTTAATCTCTTATTGTACCTAATAAGATCTAAGTAAAAATAAATCTTTTATCCATCACATAACTTTTATTCCAGTCTGTTATTATAATTGTTTTTTTTGGAACTGTCTAATTTCAAGTCACACAAGGTGACATCATATAAATTTTTATGTTTTTTTTTTTATTTAAAACATACTTCAATATATGGTACCATCTTGAGAAAGGTACCTTATTTAATTTTGGCTGCTTCTCTTTTATTACAATAGACTCCATAGAGGATCATATACTGAACTGGGTTAAAAAAAAAACATGAAAAATTTCACTTTAAACTGTTTTAAACATGAAAAATTTCACTTTAAACTGTTTTTTTAAACTGGAGTGACTTGAAATTAGTTCCATCAAACGTGAGAAGGCCGGAATTAAAAATCAGTTGTGTAACAACATGCAGAAGAATCCTTGAAAATTAATGTAGCAACATTAGAAAGTACTTGGAAAAAATAGTCTATCATTCATCCATGCTTAGAATATTGCTGCCATATATGGTCCAGTGCCTCTGCTATTTACCTGGAGCTCCTTGATAAGATCCAAAGAAGAATCAGCAATATTATTGGTCCTGATCTGACAGCTCTGCTTCTGTCATTTGCCCACTGATGTAAGGTTGCCTCTCTGTGCCTTTTTTATAAATACTTTCATCGTAATTGTTCAGATGAACTCTTCAGTATGGTACCTAGTCTGTATGAATTTAAGCAAAATACCAGACTGATGGTGAGATATCATCAATTTACAATTGAGCTAAGCTAGTTGGAGCTGTAACTTCTGTGTTGACAGTTTCTTCTCTCACACTTCTTGCTTGTGGAACACTCTTCCAGTCCATGCTTTCCAGCCAACATTGATCTTCAAAAATTTAAATACAAAGTCAGTCGTTATCTAGTCTTCTTGATCACTCTTATATTGTTCTTGCTCCATAATAGGATTTATTTTCTAATTCTTTCACATCCAGTAACCTCTTGTGTCTTAGTGGCTTTACTACTTTGCTTGGAGTAAATTCAATAAAAAAAATAATGTTCATTGGTGCTTACTGAGTCAGTCCTCCAACAGGCTTCATGCTGTCTGCTTTTGTTTAATCATTATGTACAGTTTTGTAATATTGGAATGGCTCTGAAAACTTTACAGTGGCTATTAAATTAATATTGGATTTTTATTTCTATAATTAATACTGAATTTTATGGTCAACAGGAATTTGAATTACTTAAGATTATTACATCTAATACTATTAGTGTAAGCAAAAAATATAGCAATATATTAGATGTGAGAAAGAAAAGTATACAGTTAATCATTGTATGTGGTCTGTTTGGACTTATTTTCTCTTTGTTTTTTTATTTGTCACTTTCAGAATATTTTCACTTTGTACCCTCTCGCTTTTCCTGGAAGAGTGTGATGTTCTGGAATTCATCTTAACCAATCATATACGATTATTAAAAGACTTCATCTAAAACAATTTGAATTTGTGGTTTATTTGAATGACACAGAGTCTGTTCATTATCACCTTTCTTTCTAAGATAATGCTTGGAGAAATTTGGAGCCATCTTTAAAGATTTGTCTTTTAAAACCCAAGTAAGGCAAAGCCAGATGTAATGCAGCAGTTGTTGTTGTTGTTGGATGATACAAAGATGTTCTCAGGTAGACATCCCCAGTTTTTGTCTTATGCAGGAAAATTTTGACAAAAGTTACTGTGTCCCTTTCACAGTTTACATGTAAACAGTCCAACCAATTTGTTTTAGTTTATTGGGACATTTACTGACTGCATCATCTGTGAAGAAAAACAAAAGAAAAAAATATTTAAAAATATTTAAAAAAAAAAAAAAAAAGAAAAAAAAGAAGGCAATAATAAAATTTTTTATAAGGAATTAGAAAATGTCCATTCTGTAATGGCTCTGCAATTTTTACAATGGTTGACAAATGTAAGCAAGGTAGATGCATCAAATTGCCTTGGTAGTCAGCCAGTCTAGAAGGATAACTCTGAATACAGAACAAGGAAAAAAACAATGGGAAAACCACTACACTATCTTTCCCAATAAATCATAGCAATTCAGAGATTTTTTTTACAACATTGTTCACCCTGTACAAGGACCAAGAGTCATTCAAGGTAGAGGGTTACAGAGTAAGAGGGACAGTTTATGGGCATATGTGGGAAAAATAATGGTTAACCCTATAGTAAGAGAATGAGGGTGTTTCCCTACAATATGTGTGGCTTGGTGCATCTTAGCCATGAATGTGATGAAACTAAGGAATATAGTTTACCTGAACACTTTCCAAGGAAATAGCAATAGAGTAGAGAGAGGATTGCAATGTAGAAAATAATACATCACCCACAAGGACGTGGAAATGCTTTTGGACTCTATTGAGACTGGAAAGTGAAGACTGTGCAGCTCCTGTCCAGTACTCCATTTTCAGTCTGATCTTGTAAACATAGAAGAAAACTACTGAAGCAGTACAGGGAATTAGATTATTTTAGTATCTTTAGTGAAGGATTGAATGTACAAGTTCCACTTGAGATCTGGGTTGAGCTTAAGTCTCAATAGGTACTCACGATATGAGGTTTCCCTAACAAAACACCTGTTCATTGCAATGTGATATTTCAGGGTTCACTTGGTGAAGATGAAACATCACAAGTTTGGTTTTTCAATGCATTAAATGTGACCAGCTAGCTTTTCTCCCACTGAGCTGTTAAAGCTCAATCAGAGGAGAGATCAGTTGCCAAGCTCTTGTCATCTATTATTTAGAAGGTACACCCATATATATCGTTGTATCATCAGAATAGATATTCACAAATGAAACAGAGTATATACTTAGGCAGATCATTTACGCAAATTAGAAAAAAGGTTGAACCAAGAAGCAAACCTTTGGGGGGTGCTTGCATTGAGCGCTTGGGCCTCAGATCTCTTTTTGCCACACCTTATCAAAGGCCTTTGAAATATCTAATGCAATCATCCTTGAGATATATGTTGTCTTGTACCTCACTGATTCTGTGAGTAATGCCAGAATATCAGCAAAGGACAAAGCCGATTGAAATCCATACTGCTTGTTGCTCAAGGGTTTCTCCCGATTGAGGTCATCAGAAACTTGTTGATTATAACTTTTAAAAGTTTGCTAAAGACACTGAGGAGGCTGATGGGATGAATGCTCACCCACTTTCTTGAAAGCAGGGCATATACTTGGCACTTCCACAAACTTGGAAAGGATTTCTCCTTTAAGCAGTGAGTAGTTTCGCTAAGATTCAGGATAACTTAGGGTTAATATTCTTAAGGACAACCACTGGACCTTGTAGCCTTCTGAGCATCAAGACTTTTGATAAGTTTTGAGACTTCTTGGGCTGTAATAAAAATATTGAGCTCTGTGGGATGGGAGAAATCTTGAAGGGAAGCCTTTGTCATCTAACATGGAGTTGGATTAAAGGTTCTACTAAAGAGCTTTACTTTATCTGACAAAGATGATATTAGGCACTGATATTCAGAATTCAGAATTTGGTTGGAGATTTTCCAGAACTCCAGGAACCCAAGTTGTTTGCTACTGACCTTTGGGTGAACTGCTTGTGCATTGCTATACTTTGCATTTTCTAGAACTTGCAATAACTGTAGGCAGTTCTGAATACAGCAAGTCTCCTACTATACCATTTCATGTGATAGATATTGTAGTCATGGCTACAGTGAGCTATGGCTGCAGCACATTCAGGGGGGGAACCAGGACTAGCTGTTCAATTTCTGCTCGAATGTTTTAGATATTAAATAAAAGAAAGAAGTAGAGAGCCATGACTGCATATGTTCTGAAAGAAAAATGTATTTAAAATAGAGTGTTGATGGGTTTTAAAATTAAATATATTACTTTTTCAAATAATACTATTTAAAGTGGTAACCAAATCAGCATTTAGATCAAAGTTTGTGAATAAAGGGAAATTAGTAATGTATAAAAGGAAGTAAGCAATATTGACATTATGTTCTTAACTTGGTATTTACGCAAGTAACACACCTATTTCCTGTTGTCTTAATAGTAAGTCCAGAATGTTTAAAAACTGGCAGCTGATCTAAAAATAACCTCCAATCAGTTGTTAACTGGAACAAGAAATGGCTTATAAATTTTAACGCCTCTGAAACAAGACTAATATATTTTACTCATCATAGAGAACTATTTTGGCTTCCATCAGTATGGCTGATGCTAACCTCCAGGAGAGTGACTCATTGTGCCTTCTAGGGCACATATTTTCCACTGGCATGAAGTAGAATGATTATATTGAATCAATTGCTAGGTCTGCACTGAGGAAAATTGGTTCAATGTGTTGTGCCAGACAATTTTTCTTACCAGAATCCATTTTGCATGCTTATTAATCTAACATTCATCTGTACAATGAATACTGCTGCCATATCTGGTCTGGTGCTCCTGCTTGAGATTCTTGTCAACATTCAAAAAAGGATTTGCAATATAATCAATCCTGACCTGACATCTCGACTTCAGTCACTTTCTCACCGACATGACGTGGTCTCCCTCTGTCTTTTCTGTAAATATTTTCATGGTAATTATTCTTTCCTCCTTAGTGACTCGACTGCATGAATTTAAGCCTGTTACTAGATTGGCAATTAGGTCTCATTGTTTTCATGTTGCATTAGCTACATGCAACCGTATGTTCGATTCTAATACTTTCTTTTGTAACCTGTGAAACTCCCTTCTGATTTCTTCCTTCTCTTATCTACAATCTTCAAAAGTTTAAACACAACCCCAATTGTTATGTTTTTCTGAGCCTGTTTTTTTATTGTCCTTCTCATTAAAGATTTCTCATTCTCTTTCATTCCCAGTAAACCCCCCTTTGCGTGACATTGTAGCCTTGCTTGGTGGCTTACGGTGACATCATGTTGAAATACTTGTTTCCGTACAGTCACCAGAGTTAAGCAACATTGTTCACTTTCCCACTGCTGTTATATGGCATAGCCCAGTATTTCATATTTTCATGGCAATTGTTCTAATGAGCTTTCCTGCTTGGTACTTTAATCTGCATGAATTTCGGCTTACTACTAGATTGGTAACTAAGTCTCATTGTCTTTCTGCTGAAATAGCAAGTTCTATTCCCTGCCACCTACAATCTTTAAAAATTTAAATGCAATCTCAAGTGTCATCCTCTGTTCTTTTATTGTCCTATCTCTTCACTTATGTCTTCTCACTTTCTTTCATTCTTAGTAAACCTTGTGTCTTAGGGTCATTATCATCTTGCCTAGGGCAAAATTATTTGAAAAAATCTTATTAGAAAATTAAGGATTTTTGGGAGATAATATTGATTTACTGATACAAGTCCTACTATTTAACCCATAGCTGGGGGAATAAGAGGTGGATTCATGTATTTCCAAATGGTATTTGCATGTAAGTGAATATCAAAAATCTGATTGGAATTGGAACTCAGCTCTCCAATTTCCAATTCTGAGCCGTTATCCATTACAACACCTGCACGTCCAAGCTCACAGCAACTGGCATTCCCAAGCGGCCACCCATCTAGGTACTGACTAGGCTTAATATTGCTTAACTTTGGTGATTGTATGAGAACTGGTGTTTCAATGTAATATTGCTGTAAACCCTCTAACAATTTGAATGTTATAACATGCTGTCTTTGAAATAAATGGTAACCAAAATTCTTTAACCACTTGATGTGCTTAAATTATGACAGTTTCAAAGCATGACAAATCTCTCAAAGAAAGTGTATAGCACAACAGAGCAAATGAAAATGCCCAGGCAATATAATGTTTCATTGCTAGTCTTTAATAATAAAATTCCTCTTTGACTGACAGTTTGAAGAATTTTGACTAGTTTTCACAAATTACCATTTTTAAGCTTCAAATCACTCACCGGAAATCCTTGGACAGCCACTAAAATTTATAATAGAAAGCTTTGGACAAACACTCAAGATGAGCTTCACAGAGTTTTCTGAAATTTCTTCAATGTTCTTGAGAAGCATCTCCTGCAAGAATAAGAAATATTTACAAAAGAATTCAGATACAATTGGAAAGCCAGAAAGGACACCAGACAAAGCAACAAACGGTTCTATAATTATCATAATTCCCCATGTATAATATGCCCTCATCCATAACATGCACCACTAAAATTATGCTGAAAATGTGGGAAAATGCTTCTATTCATGCATAATATGCACTGCTTGTTTGATAATCAAACCCTATAAATTTTACGTCTTCAATTTCGTTATGGCCAGTGTTTCCTACTCTTATTAAAAAAAATGGTTTTAAACATAGAATAAAATTATTCTAATTTAGTTTTATGATAATTCTCATTTTATTTTACATTTGTAAGTATTGTTAGGTACTTATGATTGTATTTGACATCCTTATGAGGTTGCAATCCCCGAATATTCGTATCAAATTGTCGTATGTTTGTGGTGAGTAGTCATTGGGCAACTGAAATTCACCTATGAAACAGCAACTTTTTAAAGATTTTTTTGTAGCTGTGCATAAGACCCGCCCCTAATTTTGCTTATAATTTAAAAAGAAGAAAGCGTATTATATATGGGTAATTATGATATATCCTTTGCTATTTCAATGTTTCAGCTGTTGGCCTTCTTCAAGTGTTGGTCATGTAATTTTGAAAACTTGGAATTATGAACCAGACACTTTACTAAATCTAATGGTGATAAATTGTTCTTATTTTGCTTTTCCTGATTCATGGATATTTCACATCAGTACTCATCAGGCTTATTTAACTTTGTCTCAATGGTTTGGTTGTTTCCACTGAACCAAAGAATGTAACTTTTCAGCACAACCCCTGAACAGGGATTGAACTAACAACTGCCAAGGAATAAGATTTGTTTTTTAACCAACATTTATATGCTTTGTTTTTTTAACCAACATTTATATGCTTTGTTTTTTTAACCAACATTTATATGCTTTGCTATTTTAATGTTTCAGCTGTTGGTCTTCTTCAGGTGTCGGTCATCTAATTTTGAAAACTTTTGGAATTTTGAATCAATTTTTTCCACTGAACCAAAGAATGAGATTTTTCAGCATTACACAACACAGGGATTGAACTCACAACTGCCAGTGAATAAGATTTGTTTTTTTTTTAACCAACATCTTAATCCATTAGGCCATGTATTTCTTGGATGTTGTGTATAGAACAAGTGGGATAAGAATGCTGGTTGGATTAGCAAAGAATATAATAATGATAATTCCTCATCTTCAAAAAATATGAGAATGAGGTTGTCATTCTGAAAGATTTATTGAATAGTAAGAATAACTCAGCTTAGAAATTCACATAGATACCGAAAGTTGAAATGTATGCTGGCTAAGACATAATCAAAAGATCTTTGAACACTTATAATGATACCTCATCTTAGAAAGAAATTATTCCACCAATAAGACTTACCTCGAGAGTTCTGTGACAGTGACCTTCTAATAAGGCTGCTATGCCTTCATCAGTGAGCTGAAGTATAACCATAGAAATGAGACAAACACAAAATTACAGAAAAATCATTAACAATGACAATTCTTTAACATAAATATTTGTAGACTATTACAAGGAGTATTCAGAAGAAACAAAAGCAAACATTTTTAAGTATACATTTTATCTCTCCACATAAGCTCAATCAACATCAAGGCACTTTATCAGCCAAAAACACTGGACAGCTGATGTTGACCAGAGGGTACTTGGTTGAAACGTTGTCTATAATAATATCTATAATAATAACAATAGTTTAAAATAATACAAATATTTTGACAAGTATTCATCTTTGAAATGAAATACGAAAAGATGATTTCTGTCTGAATTTTTGGGATGAGGTGTTATCATTATTTACATTCAGATTATAATCCTCATTTTTGTTGTTATTATCACCTGATTGCATATCAGCCAATCAATGAACACCTAATGATGTTCAGCGGTACTTGCTTAACACATTTTGTCTATAACAACATCTATACCTACCAAGACAAGGACAATAGTTTGAGATAATACAAGTATATTGAAAATTACCCATCTCTGAAATGAAATACTAAAAGTTAATATCTGACTGAATTTCTAAAATGAGGAGTTATCATTATTTACATTTAGACTAATATCTTCATCTTTGTTGTTATTATCACCTGATTACCTTGTTTCTGAATTTCTGGGATGAGGTGATATCATTATTTACACCTAGATTATTGTCCTCATCTTTGTTGTTATTATCACAATGTTTTGGCTGTTGTGTCCTCTGTAGTGATAATAAAAAAGATGAGAACAATAGTCCAAGTGTAGATAAAGAGGCAATCAAAAAGTTCTTGGCAAAATGAAATTAAAAGTGAAGTTGCCCGGTTTCTAAATGTATTGGAAAATTATTCTCTGATAATGCTTACCATGATGATATTATTGTCTTTTTTCCTTCTAAAATGTCAACAAGCAAGGTAGGCTCTATGAGTGTTCAACAAACACGTGCCTGAGCAGGTGCCTGCAACGAGGAATGCTTAGCTGCCCTAGTAGACACGTGTACTCAGATAAGAATGGCCAGCTACTTTTTTTTTTTTAAGTGTTTCACCCCAAGCAATGTGGGAAGCCACTAGCACGCAAGGGGTTACAGAGAATTGGAGTGAGAGCAAAGAGGAGTGATAGAGGAAAGGATGAAGAGACGGTTAGGGGATAGATCAGTGCATCTGGAGACGTCGATTGACATTACATTTGAATACTTGGAGATTATAGCTATCAGGGAAACAGGAAAAGAGGAGGGAGTTCCACAGGCGAGAAGTATGAGACCTGAAGCTATTGGAGTAGAAGAGACAGCTACATTTAACAGTTTCGACAATGAATGGGTGTGAGTGAGATGCCGGCCTAGTAGAATGCTTAAATTCATGAAGTCTGGGAACCAGCGAAAGCAGCTCCTCGGAGCAGTTACCATGAAAGTATTTGTAAAAAAGACAGAGGGAGGTGATGGCACATCTGTGAGAGAGCGACTGCAGACTAGATGCCAGATCAGGGCCAATTACATTGCATATCTGTCTCTGGATCTTATCAAGAAACAAACAGAAGAGGAACCAGACCATATATGGCAGCAATACTCCATACACTCAGACTATTGTCCTCATCACATTTCGGCCATTGTGTCCTCCGGAGTGATAACAACTAAGATAAGGATAATAGTCCACGTGTAAATAATGTAAAAATGATAGTAAACTAATTTTGCATTTTATTTTTATATCCTTATTGGTTTCCCAGCATTATCAACATTATCAAAGATTCTTCTTCTGGACTGACAACCTCACGGACAGTCTTCACCCTCTGAAGAGGTGCTAGCCCTACTTCCGATGGTAATTATTCGTTCACTTTCTGAGCACTCACTGCTTGTGTCATTTGTTGAAGTATCTGTACCTACATATTGACGCAAGTCCTTTATGTGTCTTGGTATGCCATCAACCAGCACAGAGCACGAGTTACTTACTCCAGTGACATGCCCCACCCGGTACCGAATTGTACACCGGCTATGTGGAGCTTTTACCCACACACGATCGCCCAAGTCATACAGCGCACGTTCTTTTATCTGTTCAGTTGAACGCGTCGTGCCAATGCCTCATAGCTGGACTTTGTACTGATAAATCATGTTGGCTGGCACAGTTGAGGGTGATACATTATTGTCTCTCGGAGTAACATACAATACACCGCCTCCATTATGGAACACTTAGCGATTCTTTTGATACTCCGATGACATAATGCTCATGAAGGGACACAGCATATACAAGAAGAAGAATGCTCATAAAAAAGGTACCTTGCAAATTTTTTAAAGATTAGAATAAAAGAAAAAAATCTAAAGGTACTGAGTCAGGAATTAAGTTGGGGTCATAAGTTTGCAAGAATTACTATGTGAAATGGGAAAGGTGGAGATCTTGTGATTTCCCATTGAAATTCTTGCAATCTTTCCCTTTTGATGAAAGGAATGGATAGCGATATTGTAATGGTGGAAAAGATCAAGATGTAGACACAATGAGCAAAGCGACAGTTGGAGTTCTCATGAACTGAATGGAAGATCTGGTCCATTAATCTGTCATGAGAGAAGACAGAATCAGGAATGAAGATGCCCTAAGTGTCACTTATGCACACCCTAAGACTGCCAGGTGATGCTATAAATAAAGAACTCTGTATATTGAAAGCAGGATTTGTGTTCTTGTTGACTGAATGGAAGATCTGGTCCATTAATCTGTCATGAGAGAAGACAGAAATATGGTCAAAGGGAAGATCTGGTCCATTAGTCTGTCATAAGGGAAGACAGAAATATTTTGAAAGGAAAGATCTGGTCTATTAGGCTGACTATTAGAAGTAGTGGCAAAGATGTCTCAAGTGACACATACCCACCCCAGAATGAATGCTTGGTTCAACTCATAAACTCTTGACCCATAAATAAAGAACCAAGGATTTGTGTTTTCTTTTTTTTTTTTTTCACTTTCCTTTTCCTTCTTGAACACATATAAATACCTTCCTAAGTTTTTTTTTTCACACCAATACAGATAGGAAACAAAATATATGATGGGATGAAGTTGTCCAGGTGCCAAAAAATTGACCAAGGGTCCAGTCATATTGTTTACGTATCTGTTATCAAATACTTTTGTTATATATAAAAATATGTTTTTTTTCTGTCATCTTTATTCCTTTTCTTTGGAAATGAAGACAAAAAAACAGTTCAAGGGAAAAGACTCTTGGTCAATATGACTCATTCAACTTTCCATAAAAACCGGGTTTGATTTTTCTTTGTTTTACGGCATATCAACCACAATGGGTTATTTAATGCTAACAATTTTTTTTGCTGATGATATTTTCCTTCAAAAATGTATTGCTGGCAATATGTTTTTTTAAAAATGTATTGCTGGCAATATATTTTTAAAAAAATGTATTGCTGGTAGTAATTTTTAACAATGTATTTCTGGTATTAAAACCTATTTTTACACTTTCATAGTGTTTTGCCCCCAGTTTGGGGTAGTTTATCATTTTACCCAGGACACAGATGCAGTTTATCGTCATACCAAATATGGATAAAAAACTGGAACATTAAATGTGACAACTATGGTGGCCATTTCTTAACTCCTGACTTTTGAAATATACATTTTTCTACAACTGGTTTAACTATTTGACAACAACTCCAACTGATTACCAGCTCATAGAATAAAAAATATTTAAAAAAAATCTAACTCCTCCGTATTATATCAAGTCATCCCATAAGTTCTGTCCGAATTTTAACTTTTTGTTAAAATAAATGAAATTTAAAGAGTATTTTATAATGTCTAATGGAGCTGAACATTATTTTTATGTTTTGATGCATTTAAACTGATCTAATTTTATTTCAGAGAACAATAAAATTAAATTTTGTTTGATTAAAACCCTGCTAACATGGAAGTACCCAAGAATCATTTGAGGCACATAATGCTTTATGAGTTCAAGAAAGGAAACTCAGCAGCCGAAGCGGTTAGAAACATTCACTCAGTTTATGGAGAGGAATGTGTGAATGAAAGAACTTGCAGAATATGGTTTGCAAAATTCAGAGGTGGAGATTTCACCCTTGAAGATGAAGATCAAACCAGACGTCCAGTTGAGTTTGATGAAAAGCTTCTTGAAGCAGCCCTTGAAGAAAATCCTGCTTTATCAGTTGAGAAATTGGCAGTGGTTCCCAGTTCAAACCATACAACTGTTCATCATCATTTTCAACAAGTTGGAAAAGTCCCTACTTGGAAAATGGGTGCCTCATGAATTGTCTGAAAACACCCTCAAATCCCAAGTTGACATCTGCTCTTCTCTCCATTCTCGCCAACTTGTTTCACCTTTTTTGGATAGACTTGTGACTGGCGACGAAAAATGGATCTTTTATCGAAATGTTAAGCATCGTAGACAGTGGCTTGGTAAAGGAGAAGGACCCCAGCCACAGCCGAGAAGGGAACTTCATGAGCAAAAGTTTCTTCTTTCAATCTGATGGGATCGCCAAGGAATAATCCACTTTGAATTCTTACCATTTAATGCAACAATTAATGCTCAAATATACTGTCAGCAATTAGAGTGTTTGAACCAAGCTTTGAGAAAAAAAAGACCTGCTCTAGTTAATTGAAAAGAGGTGATGTTTCATCAGGACAATGTGCGACCCCACACAACAAGAATCATGTCACAAAAGATCGAAGAACTTGGTTGGGAGAAAATTCCTCATCCACCTTATTCTCCCGATCTTGCTCCTTCAGACTACCATTTGTTTTGTAGCTTACAGAATCATTTGGAAGAAACAGCTTTTGTAACACAGGAAGAGGTTAAAACTGACATTTGTGAGTTCTTCAAATCAAAGCCAAAAGAATTTTACAGTAATGAAATTAGTAACAGTATTTACATTAGTCGGACTATTGTCCTCATCTTTGTTGCCATATTTGTCACAACGTTTCAGCCGTTGTACACTCCGGCCTTCTTCAGGTGGTTGGAATTTCGAACTGAACCCTTTATTTCGATCACTGGGGTAGACTGTTCTAGTTCCATGTGCCATGTTTGATGGATATCAGTTATCTCCTGCTAATTTTCCCTCTGAAAGTTCTCCACTGCCTTAACCAGGAATTGAACTCACCTTCTTTGGGTCTGTCACTGGATCTAACCAACGCCTTTATCCACTGTTATATTTTGGAATTCAGTTTGATTTCTTTAAGAAATTGTAGGATAATATATGGATCAATGTCATGAAAGCATTCTTTCATGTTGATTGTTTGGTAGTATTTTAAACAGATTTGTGTGAAGTCACTACAATTTGTTAGTATGTGCATATTGTTGGTAATTGTACTATAAATAGGTATTGTTGTTAAGTTTTTAGATAAAAATGTATTGCTGGTATTTTTACTACAAAAATGTATTTTTATACTTTCATAGTATTTTGTTTTAATTTGGGTGTTCACTATTTGCCCATAGATGGGGCCCTAACAGGTGCTACCACTCTGGGTCAGGATGGACCTGGAAAAACAGCAATTAAGAGATGATTCCATACTTTTGAAAACTTACAATCTCCCGGCCAGAGGCCTTGCTGCCAGATGTAGTTTATTGTCATACCCAGGACTAGGCAGTTGTGAGTTCAATCTTTGGAGCAGGTATTGAAAAAAAAAATAAAAATAAATATATACTGGTTCAGTGGAAGAGACATTGAATTAAAAGTTTTGTTTTGAAATTCCTGGTTTAACTATTATAACAGACACCTGAAGACAGTTGGAGAATAGAACAGCTGAAAGACAAGGATATTAGTCTAAACAGATTGGTGTATAGTAACAATAGATGTTTTTCTTAAAAATTGTTTACACTTACGGAATTCCTAGAAAAGTTAACTTGTGCAAGGCGGGGACAGTTCTTGCCTAAGGCTTTCATAGATTGATCAGTGACTCGGGAGCAGTAACTCAGGTTGAGACAGCGGATGTCTTGACAATGTTCAGAAAGGCTGGTGATGGTAGCATCATCGACCCAACAACAGTAGCTGAGATTGAGAACCTGTATAAAGTGACACATGCTGAACACACCTGACAAGCCTGTAAATAAACAAATAAACGAATAAGACTTGACGTCATTCATTTTGCAGCTTTCATTGATACCAGGAAGTTCCATCAAATGAAGGAAATTTATTTTGCTACAAAATTACCTGGGTTGATGCCATGAAAGAAGTTTTAGACCAAATAGAATTACAAAACAGGTATCAGAATAGAGAAAATTTAATTCTCATTAAAATTCAGGCTATCCTAGAATAAACAATGAATAGGGAAAAAAGAAGGAAGTTGTTTTTTTTTAATGCGTGAATGACTAATGGTTAATAGTTTGGAAAATGGGATCATAGCTGAGTTGAAATTCTACCTGAGACAGTCTGTGTTCATTTTGCACCAAACCCTTTGGAAATGCATGATTTCATCTTCTCCCTTCTAGCTATGGGTTAAATAGTAGGAAAGATTGAGCTTTCTAGCTTTGGTTGGTAACTAGCCTGGAATGAGAACTCTGAATTCATTATCCTAGAGAAGGCAATGAGAAACCACTCCACTACCTCCTGGTCACTAAGTGCAGATTCACACCTCATCCAATGTCAGTGGGTGTCCCAGCAAGTAAAACATAACTAACCCAGCTGCACTTGAGATATGTGCATATGGAAAAGAGCTGTAGGACAGTTAAACATCCAGCCCAGATAGACCAACCTCTTACATTCATATGAGAATGTAGGGTCAAGATTGAGAGACAGCACAACCAAGGACAGTCATGTTTCATAAGGGAGACTCAATCTCAGGTTTTCATTTAATCATCATCATGGCTTGGCTTCACAAAATGAAGATCAAGAGGGAGTCTGTACACGTAGATTGTAGGCATGTTTGTGACTGATAAGTCCAATGCAGGACAGGCATATATGGTTACAGCAGTTGCAGCTGAAAATCCAGCCTTGTCTCAATGTCATAGCATTACAGTACTCTGCCTCATCTCTCTGATATAATATATAAGACAATATGCTACATTACGAGGATGGGCTGAAAAGCTTATAGGCTGACTATGAAGGAGTGATGTTAGAGCTATGAAAGAACATTTTTGTTTAGTATCAAAAAGAGACAGTTGAAATTACTGGGACATACAATAAAGAAAGTGGGCTTGGAGAATTTGACACTTATATGACATACTGAAGGCATTAAGGGTCTTAAGGAAATATCACGTATCCTAATGAGCTTGTGTAAATGGATGGCAGAACATGGACTGGGAAGGATAGTTGGTGGGGAAGGGGACATTGCTTAGAGCTACAAAGGATAGGAAGTTGTAGAGATCCATCATCACTTATAGCCTGAAAGGACTCTGCATATAAAAGAAGAGGAATTTACTTACTTGCTGATGAGAATCGTTCTTCTTGGTTCTGTGAATTGAGATTAAGTTTTCTGACTTGGGGACAGTCTCTGAGCTGGGAAATGCCATCTTGTGTGACACTGGAGTTTGACAGATCAAGCTTTCTCAGGTCTTTATGGAGAGCCTAACACAAAAAGATAGTTAAAAGATGCATTTGAAAAAAAATCTATCAAAAACTGCTGGGTTTTTTTTTGAGAAAAATCACCAAAACAAAAGCATTTTACTTTCCTTTTTTAATACTATTGTTCACCTCATACAAGGCTGAAGAGCCACTCAAAGTAAAGCATTACTGAAGCCAATACCTCATAAATAATGGACTATTCTATTTTAATTGTGTAGAAAGACATATCAGAAACACTACTTGGTTTCAGTAAGAAAATGAAAGAAAGAAAAAGGGAAGATAGAAGAAGTGATAACATTCATGTGTTTAACATTTGTTTCAGTGAAATGGAAAAGTAGCCAATTTCAGATGTTTTCATTTGTACCCCCTTACTTCTTTAGAAGTAAAGAGGTACAAATTTATATTTATGATTGTTATTGCAATATTTTGTTAAAAGTTGTTCAAAGCTCAAATATTTAACAATGTGATAGGGGAAATTCTACAGATATTTTATTGTCGTAGAACTCACCATGAGCTTATTCAATCATTAACTGAAGAATTAAAATTCATCATAAAATTCAAATACAAAAACTGAAATTTTTGTGGGTTGATTCTATTCAACTAATTTGTAGCAAGGTGAAATATAGGGCTTTATTCTTGGACCCACTATGTTCCTTACTTTCATTGACAACCTTCCTGATGCCATCTGTTCCCAACTCGGTATCTATGCTGATGAGAGAACTATTTACTCCGGTCTTAATACTAATGCTGATCTGTTCAATAAAATCAAATTGGCAGTAGCTGATCTTGGGTAATTTTTCTTGCCAAAATCTATCATGCACATTTGTAAGTCTACCATTCATCTGTGCATCAAATGTTGTTGCTACATTTGGTCTGGCACTTATATATATCTAGAGATTCTTCACAGAATCCCCAAAAGAATGGTAAAGGTAATAATAGCTGTTTCCCTACAAGGAAACATTTGGCATTCATTGACAGAACAGCTAGTGCTGATGTCAGTTGCAATTTATAAAATCTCTCTCTTAAAACAATTTATCAGGAAAATAAGTTTCTTAAGTCCAGTAACTGCTCCAATATCAACATCTTCAATATGTTATTATTTTCTCTTTGAGTTATAATTGCTATCCATTTTAGTTGTTGCTGCTGTTGGTAGTCCTTTAGTGATGTGGTTTCTTTTATTTGATACAGTGCTTTGTTTGTGATTCAGTAGTGCCAGTCTACAATGTTCAAAGAAGGATGATCTTTGTCAAGATTCTCAGGCTTCACTTGCTCAAAACCTTTTCTCACCATTGATCTTAGGAAGCGGTTGTATACAGCTGATAGTTTAGATTACACCATGCACAACATTCATATGAAAGTCTTGATCTGATGAGGCTGTTTAAGAACATGAACATTAAGAGTTTTCAGGTTGATGTTTTGGTTTTGTAGCAATTGGTGGTGTTGGGAGAAACTATCTTTGGCGCAATCTGTTCTATGTTCAGTTTCTTTTTCTCCTACACTAAATTTGTTACAGCTGATCCATATACCGAGGTGTCTGAACTGTTTAGTATTTACTAATTCAATATTCTGTATTTTTATGATGGATTCAGAGTAGGTGCTATTACTACTTTCATTCCAATTCCAGATGATAGTTTCTGTTTTGGAAAGGTTTATCTTGAATCCCATTTCTTGGAACACTTGATAGAGGATGCTGATTTGCTGTTAAGACCATTCTTATCACAACTCTGAATATCTATGTCAGCATCATTCCAATCACCTGAAGAAGTCTGGAGCTTACAATGGCCAAAATGTTGTGAATATGGCAACGAAGATGAAGACAATAGTCCAAACAATTTAAATAGGGTAAATAATTAAAATAACTCACCTCAGAAATATAGACAGATACAAAAAGAATAGTTATTAAAAATATACTTTTAAAGATTGTTATGCAAATTAAATATTACTGCTTATGTTATAAACAAAATTTGTTAGTCAGACCCTCAAGTGCAACATGCTGCATACGATCCATGACTAATGATGCTGAAAAAACAGTTGTTTCCCTGTACCACTCCAGTAAGTACCTGATTCTTTCTGCTATCCTCTATTTTTAAAAGAGTCGGATAAGGCAAAAATGGAGTACTGTTACCATAAGTGAACAGGAGCTGCCTACTCCTCACTTTCCAGGCTTGATCATCATATACTTTTGGGTAACAAATTATTTTCCCCACTGCAATCCTTTTGTCACAGATGAAACATTGCAAGCCTCTCATTAAATTTACTCTGTTGCTATTTTCATAGAAAGAATTCAGATAAACTACCATTCCTTAGTGCCACTAACCTTCATTGTAGCGAACCACCCTCATTCCCTTTGTATTTCTTTGGTAAGATGTAAATTTTGTGGGAACAGATTCTTCCCACAAACTGTTACTTTACTGACACCCAAGAGAATGCTTTCCCAATCACTACAATCTTAACCTGTTCAAGTATAGGGTTAACCGTTATATTTCCCATATATCCTCATAAACTCTCCCTTACCTTCTATTCTGTAACATTCTACATTGAGTGTCTCTTAAGCCTTGTACAGGGTGAACATTATATATATATATATATATATGTGTGAAAAGTGTATATAAATATAAATAAATATATATATGTATAATTATTTATATATTATATCTGTGTACTTATTAGAAAGCGCTCAATATCAGAGATAGAGTTAACATATTTGGTTGGATAGATGTGAGTTTGTAACCCTGGGTTTCACGCTTTAGCGATCTGTCTGACGATCGCTAAAGCGTGAAACCCGGGTCACAAACTCACATCTATCCAACAAATATATATATATATATATATATATATATATATATATGAAAATGGACAAAAATCTGACAATTATTTTTAAGACATTTTTATAAAAAATGTATAAATATAAAATGTCTTAAAATATATATATATATATATATATATATATATATATATATATATATATATATATGACAAGTTCTATGTATGTTTTTTTATTAAATCTTCCAAATTTCCCAATAAGCTATTCAGTAAATTTGCTAAAATTCATATTAACTTTTATTTTGTATTATTTTTTTCCTAATTAATTTTGAATCCGCCTACATTCATTTTCAAGAATTGTTCTGTATTGCAGTTATGCAACTGTTTTTTTAATTCTGGCATTGTAACATTCAATGAAACCAATTTCAAGTCACTCAAGTTGATGTCATATAAATGGTGAAACTGAAATTTTTTATATATATATATATATATATATATATATGTGAGTTCTGCCTATTAATTTTTTTATTAGACCTTCCAAATAAGTTATTCAGTAAATTTGTCAAATATAATTTAAATAAGGTATATTTTGGCAGCAAAAATTCTCTCAAATATGTTTTGTTATGGACAAGTTCTATCTATCAATTTTTTTTATTAAACCTTTCAAAACGTCTGAATAAGTTGTTTTGTGTAATGGCTAAATTTGCCAAAATTCATGTTAACTTTTATTCCCCCCCCCCAAGTACTTTTAAATGTTGCTACATTCATTTTCAAGGATTGTTCTGTGTATATTTATGCATCTGGTTTTGAATTCTGGTGTTCTAATGTTTGATGGAACCAATTTCAAGTCACTTAAGGTGATGTCATATAAATGGTCAAACTGATTTTTTTATAATATTATGAATTTTGGCAAATTTACTGATAACACAATAACACAAAACAACCTATTCAGACATTTGAAAGATTTAATAAAAAAAACTGATAGACAAAACTTGTCCATATTATATAACAAAACATGTTTGAGAGAATTCTTGCTGCCAAAATAAATATAAATAAAAAGCTGATAAACATTCATTAGGTGTTAACATTGTGGGATGTTTTGTTCTATTCATATAGAGTGGTGACACACAGACAAAATCTTGCCTTATTTGAATTTATAAAAGATTATTAGAAAGGGCAAAGAACACGAGTCAAAATGTAATGATGGAACAAACATGCAGAAATCCAAACCATCTGGAAAATACTGATTTAGATTAGATTATCTTTTACTAGCACACACCAACCATGCTGATAATGAATCTTCTCAAAATGTAGCCCAAAAGTTAAAAAAACAAGAAACAATATCTCACATTCTTTAGATTTTTGTCTGTCAGTAAGCCTCTTCGGGCCATGTAATGGAGACATTTTTCCTGAAGATCAACAGGTAATGCTTGAAGGCTGGCTCCATCTGCTGTCAAATTTTCTACCACCAATTGCTTGCATCTACAAAGATAAATAAAAACAATAAATATACTTTAATTATTAGGTTGCTTGGGAAGCAAAGTCTGATTTTAGAAGAAACTAAGCAAGGTGATAATACGATTAGAATGCAGGGGGTTTACGGTGGGGGGTTGTGAAAATGAAAGAGAAGATTGAGAATTGTGCCACACTTTGTTGAAAGCCTTCAGAATATCTAATGCTATCATTCTTGAAGTGTATTTGTCATCAAGAGCCTCATTAATTCTGTGGGTAATGGTAGTTAGGACATCAGCAGTGGATCGGGCTGATTAAAAACTGTATTGTTTGTCACTCAAGAGGTTGTTCTTATCTAGATGCTCAGTGAACTTGCTGATTATAGCCTCAAAACGAGGAGACTGATGGATTTATACTGAGAGTGGGAGGAGCACTTGCCCATGTTCTTGAAAACTGGCCATATGCTTGAGACTTTCCACAAGCTTGGAAAGGATTTCTCTTTCAGGCAGTGGTTAAATGAGATTGGTGATAATTCTGGGTTGATATTCTTAAAAACAACCTCTGGAATTTTGTTCGAGCCAGTGGCTTTCTTAGAGTCAAGGCTTTTGATAAGTCTTGAAACTTCCCATGCTGTGATGAAAATATTACTGAGATTGCACTCAGTGAGACATGGGAAGGGGATGGTCTTTGTCATTTAATGTTGAATTCAAGATAAAGTTTGAGGTGAAGAGTTTCACTTTATCTGTCAAGGAAGAGATGACCTGAGAGCCATTAGTAATAGTGGGCACAACTGCTTTGCTTATGTTTATAATTTTGTTGGTAATCTTCCAGAATTCACAAGATCCAATTGGTTTCTTTGCAACCTTGGTCTAGACCATGTGATGAAAGACATGACTTACCTCAGAATTCGAAACGAGGGCGAACGTGACTTGCCTGCAAAGTGATGATGAAGAGAAATATGGCCACTATTGAAGACACAATTTATGCATGCCTATCTCGTCCAAAATGAGACAATATTTTCACACATGCAAATTTTGGCCATATTGGAATAGCATAAAATGCAGGGTGCCAGAAGCACGACAGAACCAAAGTCATTTGGTGGACAACGTGCAATAGAGCTGGATGTATGGATTGACAAATGGACAAAAAGGAAGTTGAAGTAGGCGCGACTGAGCTGGTGTCTGTTTCACAACTGCCCAGTGTAACGGCTGAGAAAGGGAGCCACACAACCCATTTCCTTGAGGCGACTGAAGAAGAAGAAAAAATAGCTGGCCTGCCAGCGAGCACCGCACTGCACTTTTTGACCCCCCTCCCCCCATCACCATTTTTTTTTCTACAGACCCCACTTGTGCAGGGCTACACTTTGCATTTTCCAGAACGGTTTTGCAGTGATTGTAGATGGTTCAGAAAGCAGTAAGAGTCAAACCATTTACTTGTTTGCATGAGTTCAAGCTTGGCCATAATGCTTCTCAAACCACTGCTAACATTAACAGAGCTTGAGGTGAAGAATCCACTTGTGATAAGGGCAGTACGGTTCTGGTTTCTGAAGTTCCGTAGTGGGGATACGAGTCTTGAAGATCAAGTTGGTAGAGGATGTTCATCTGCAATTGACAATCAACATCTGAAAACCGAAGCCGAACAAGACCCAGATCAAAGTGACAGAAAAATGTCTCAGATAATGAGCATCAGCATTTCAACAATATCAGACTATCTCAAGAAAATTGGTAAGGTGAACAGACTCGATAAATGGGTTCCACATGAATTTAGTGAACGTCAAAGATTTCAGCCTTTTGAACGGTTTGATGCTGCATCTGCAAAATTTGAATATGACATTTTTTGATTGAATAGTGACTTGTGATGAGAAATGGCTCAATGGCTTCATCATGATGAAGGAACCAAACACTTTCCAAAATCAAAATTACACCAACAGATGATTATGGTAACTGTTTGTTGTTCTGCCATTATGGCATTATCCGTTACAGCTTTCTGAAATATGACAAGGGCATCACTGCTGAGGCTTACTGCCAGCAAATGAATGAAATGCACATTCTGTTAAGCAAAATGTAAGCAGAACTGATTAATTGACGATGTCCAATTTTATTTTATGACAATGCTTGGCCACATATTGCCAGGAAGACACTGCAGAAACTCATTGATTTGAGATACAAGATTTTGTCACACCTACCATATTCCTCTGATCTTTTTTCTACTGACTAACACTTTTCAAGCATTTTCTTAAGCAAACAACGTTGCAAAGAAAATGCAAAAAACTGCATTCAAAGATATTTGAGTGTCCAAACCTTTATAGTTTTATCATAAAGGTATAAATAACTTTGTAACTCGATTGCAGTTTTACAATTTTAAGCTCCTGTAATTTTTTAATTGGGTTGAAAAAAGATATTTTAATCAAACATTGATGTAAGAATGAGGGTGGAATTCTCCATTCATCATAATTCTGCTTAAGGTACTCTGGCATGTACCAATTTTTTTCACTTCCAACTTTTCAAGGGGATCACATAAATGGTGTACAATAAAGGAAAAATTCATGATATAAAAAACACAATTTGTGTCCACTTTTAAGAAAATTTTTCTTCTCGCCAGAGTCAATCCTTCAAATCTACAAATCAACCATTCGCCCTTACATGGAGTATTGCTGCCATATATGGTCTGGAGCTCCTGTTTGTCTCAGGGTCCTTGATAAAATCCAGAGACAGATATGCAATGTATTTGGCCCTGATCTGGCATCTTCTCTGCAGTCGCTCTCTCTCATAGTCATGCTGTCACCTCCCTCTGTCTTTTTTACAAATACTTTCACGGTAACTGATCTGATGAGCTGCTTTCGCTGGTTTCCAGACTTCATTAATTTAAGCGTTCAACTAGGCTGGCATCTCGCTCTCACCCTTTCACTGTCAAAACTGTTAAATGTAGCTGTCTCTTTTACTCCAATAGCTTCATGTCTCGCACTTCTTGCCTGTGGAACTTCCTCCCTTTTTCCTGTTTCCCTGATAGCTATAATCTCCAACTATTCAAATGTAATGTCAATTGACATCTCCAGATGCCTTGGTATATCCCCTATCCTTCTCCTCATCCTTTCCTCTATCACTCCTCTTTGTAACCCCTTGTGTGCTAGTGGTTTCCTGCCTTGCTTGGGGTGAAACGCTTATAAAAAAAAAAAAATCTATCATTTTTAAAAACAGAAACAGAAACCTAAAAAATGTAAATAAAGTTGCTTTTTTGGCAATGTTTAACCTTTGTACCCACAAAAAAATGGTTTCAAAAGGACAGTTTTTCCCTTGACACCACTATTATTTTAACAACCTCACCCCTTGGCAATGCTTATTGTTTTAAAAAGCAATGATTAGAATTGCAATAAAACCTAAACATGTGAAAGTGAATTCATATATTTTCTTTATTCTTGAGAACTATTTATTAGTTTATTTACAAGAATTATTTTCTATTTATAACATTAAAAAAACTAATTGTATTAAAACCAATGCAATATTTATTATTTACCAACTTATAAAGAAATAAATATGAAAATAATTTTTTATTCATAAATTTATAAACATTTACTAAATTATTAAAATATGCGAACTATAAAAAAATTATTATTTACCATTTTATGATGTTCGAATCAATTGTCAATTAGCTGATGTTTTACCAACATTTCCAATAAACAATCTAATAAATAGTGTTTATTACTTTTGTTGTAAATCAAAATAGTGTTTATTACTTTTGTTGTAAATCAAAATAGTGTTTATTACTTTTGTTGTAAATCAAAATAGTGTTTATTACTTTTGTTGTAAATCAAAATAGTGTTTATTACTTTTGTTGTAAATCAAAATAGTGTTTATTACTTTTGTTGTAAATCAAAATAGTGTTTATTACTTTTGTTGTAAAACAAAGAAAATGTATAAATTTACTTTCATGTTTTGGTTTTATTAAAATTCTAATCATCGCTTTTTAAAACAATAAATATTGCTGAGGAGTGAAGGTAGTTAAAATAATAGCAGAGTGAAAGGAAAAACTCTTTTGAGACATTATTTTTTTTTTTCAGGTATGAAGGTTAAACATTGCCATTTTTTTTCCTCTCTGAATAGGTATTAAATTTGTGGCTCTACAAAAGGCCTAAACATGAAAACCTGAACCTTAAAATTAACCTCAGGTCCTTTTTTTTAGGATTCTTTACATTAAAGTTATTTGCATAAAGGCGGACACAAAATCGGGGTCCAGTTTTTTCAGTTTATTTACACTATATACAGAACATTCAGTCTCGGAAGCAAAGTCAGGGACTATTTTTGATTATACGTAAACTGAGCGCTCACTTTTTCAGAATTACATCGTTTGCTACGACTTGAAAACTTTGATTTAAAAAAAGAAAAGAAAAAAGGGTCAGTACTAAGGAAAAAGTCATTTTTATAAAGAACAAGAAGTTGTAATAATAATAATAATAACAGCTTAACCAAATCTTGTGTCAATTTTCATAACCTCAAATTACTTCCCATCGATTTTTAACTATCCTCATATTCTAAACTCTGCTTTGGAATAATTATTTTTCTTATGGATTGTGAGAATTTCTTCTCACACAGTTTAACCCTTGGCAGAGACAAGAAAAGACATACAATTAACAAAGCCTACCTTAAAATTTAATACAAATTTTATTGCGTCTTTGCAAAAAAAGATTATGCCCTTTCTTGCCCCTGTGAATAGGGTGGGGTAGTTTCTTCAAAGAAGTGGTAGTAATTTTTTCTTCTGTAGGACTCAACTGGTCTCTACGCAGATTTGAAGAAGCAGGAACTTGCCGGTCGTCGCAGGAGCATTACCATTTTGGTTGCTGAAAAAACAACTCGGCTATTTGTCGAGAGCATGCAGAAAAGTTCTTCATGTAAAAAGTACATATTAGACGACAGTCAATAAACTGAGTGAATTATACAGCTTGAAAGTATCGAAGAAGCTGGAACATGCCGGTCGTTGCAGGAGCAATACCATTTTGGTTGCTGAAGTTAAAACTCGGCTATTTGTCAAGAGCATGCAGAAAATTTTTCATGTTAAAAGTACATAAAGATACGACAGTCAATAAATCGACTGAATTATTCAGCCTTAAAAAGTCTCTAAGAAGCTGAGACAAGAAGAATCATTGCCTAGTCATTTAGGCTTAAGTTTGGGCACTAAAGGCCCTGCAGAGTGATTGAAATATGAGTCCTGTCATTTTGAAGGTGTTGCAGCAACTGACAAAAAGGCACGGGCCGTTGAAAAATGCCCGCGAAAAGCAAAGTCAAATTCAACCAATGAGATTGGTCGGTACAAAATACGGTGTGGCATAAATTAGCCAATAGGAGCTTAATTGCAGAATTTCTCACAGGATGCGCTGCAAAAAGACACTCCGTAATCGAAGTGGTATTTTTTACTTTAACCAAGATACATGACTGACGAGACAGATTTTTTTTCATGCAATAGGTTGCCATTTCTTTGTGCGGTAGACCAGTTGCCACCCAATGCTCTCTGTCCTGCTATTTACGAGGCGGGGAGGGGGAGAGAAGCGGATTCATACTTTTCCCAGGGTATTATTAGCATGTAAGTGAATGGATTCGACTAGAATTCGAACCCGGCTCTCCGATTCCTCGATCCGAGCCACTATAGATCTCCTCACGTTAAAAAAAAATAAAAAAATAAAAATAAAATAAAATAAATAAATAATTAACAAATATAGAGTAATTTTTTCTTCGTGGAGAATTTCAGTATTTACTTAAGAAAAAAAAAATTATGACTTTTCAAACCACAGAATAAGGGGAAATTTAAAAAATAAATGAATAGTAATTGTGTTTGTGGGAATTGTTTTTAGAGCGGTAAAAACTTAAAATTTTAACAATAAAATCCTAATTAAAACCCCCAGCCAAGTAATGTAACATTTTTTTTTTTACTCTTCTTCGGTATTTTGTCAGGACTCAGACGTCTTCAAACTTTAAAAAGCAAACGAGTAAAATCGGAAATACATTTTTAAATTGAAAAATAAAACGTCTTTCGTCGTCTCTAGTTTTAAATTATTAGCAGTCTCTCTTTTTGTGATAATAAGTAAATAAGTGTTTCTTTTTTTTACTTAGACTACTTTTCTTTGAGATTATTTTTTTAGTAGTCATGTTTTTAGTTATTTTATTTTGTAATGTAGATGATCAATTCCTCAGTTACTGCTTTTTTGTTCGTCGAATCGAAATATACAGAGAAAACTTAACGTTTTTCTTGTGTTTTTAATTTACACTCTACAGACTAAGAGATCAGTTTCTCTTGCAAATCCGTAACTTCTTGACTTTAAAAACTTTGTAAATAAGTCTTTTCTTTAGTCTTCTTATCCATCCTCACCAAATCTCAGTGTCCTGTGCTACTTGAAAGTGCTGCAGGTTTAATCTCTTTAAGGATTTTACAAGAGATTATGGAATTTTATTGACAGTTGTCGTTGTTCACTGTACCATTAATGTATATTTCAGTGCGCCCACGTTGCTACCGAATCTGACTTTTAAAGGGTCAAAGTTAAAGCGGGCTTACCGGCAATACCGTGTGAAAACTGTTTAGTTTACCCCCTGTCGGCATTTCACATTTGGGGACACTTCGGGCGCCAGGAAATAACCCCAGCCCTCAACCGAAGGAAAAGTACTACCTGGGAAATACTTATCTGCTTCTTGAGCTGACTTTCCCGACAGAAGCTAGGAAGTGTGTGTGTGTTTTTAGTTAGGGTTTTTTTTTCGGTCTTCAGCGCGAAAGTGTTTGGCATTTCTCTTCTTCTCGGAATAAAACAGCATATCTTTATGACAGAGATTTCACATCTAATCGCGACATATGCTTTACCATTTATTTAATTAAATGTCTGAGTCTCCACATATTCATAACTATAGCAACGACATTTTGAATCAATAATAAAAATAAATACGAGTTTTCCATAGGAAGCGGTGTAATAGGAAAAAACGACCCCAACTACAACGCCATTTAAAACTTGCTCGTTTGTTTCCGTCTTGTTATATTAGAAACAAAAAAAGTAAAGTGGGTATGCTTTCCTTAAAAAAAAAACCTCTATGTATATATAATAAATAAAACCGTTTACGTACAAAGAAATTAGAGAAGGCACATAAAAACGCATTCCTTTCTTTCGTGCTGCCATTTATGCTGAAAAGAAAACTAAAACTGCAGACGAAGCACAAGAGATGTCGAACTCAACTGCCGAAGTTATTAAATATTTGATATACTTTTTTGTCATTATTTTAGAAAATCTTTTATACAAAAAATATTCATAACTATGTAACGCTTTAATTAATTACAATGTATTAATAAATTTTTAGTTTTAATTTCTTATCTTTATTCTCCGGCTCTTTTCGTAATTCTTCTTAATCTTACGCAATAACTCACCATAGGGATTGAACGCATGCATTTGACAAGAGGATCTTGCGTTAAAATAAATCTTTTAAAAGCTAATGTGGGAAATTTGTCAAGGCTTTCCCACATGAAAGGGTAAGGTTAAAGGTGACAGAATCGAAAAGCGACAGTTTAGAGCGGAAAAGTTAATAATTTACTCAGGCTCCCCACAGAGCGGGATGTGGCACAAGGCCGGTTTAACGTGGGTTTTTTCGAGCCCGTAGAAAATTTCCTCGTAGACCGTAATAACAGGGTCTTCTTGTTTGTCTACCTCCCCAGACGAGACTCTGCCCTTCGCTATAGCCTCGTCTGGGTTCCTCTCTGCCCAAAGGTAGAGAACTTGACAAGCAATAAAAACACAGTTGGCAGAGCGGACAATTCTCTTTTTTAGGCGGAACAATAAAGACTCAAACTCCTGCTCTAAGAGTAACATAGAAGAAGAAAATGTTTATCTACATCCACAAAAAAGGTAAAGGGATATACACAAATATGAGAGAAAGAAAGGGAGAAGAAAATTCCTTTAACTTAAAGGAATAAAGTGTTCTTGTTCATAAAGGCTTGCTCAAAGTATTTCTCTAAAAATTCTTAAAGCAAGTAAATTGTTCTTAAGGGTTTAAAACACTCACATAGATTTCTTCAGAGCTCTTGTTGAGGAGAAAACAATTGGAAGAGTTTGTAGTTGAGTGAGTTTGTAGGCCAACAACAGGAATTTCTGGGTTCACAGAAGCAAATCTGGATTAGTTTTTATGGCCGATGTTCTGTCTTTAGAGCCCAGCATGTAGGTTTCTTCTTTAAAACTGGTTCTGAAGATGACTGGTGTTCTGTTGCCGACCTGATGTTATCACAGATGATGTCAAGTACTCACTGCCAGAGAGGTACATATTCTTGGCATTTATTAAGATTAGAAGGCTCAGAAATATTGGGAACTTTTCCCTCAAAGTTGCTATACACTTTCCCAGCCCTCTCATCCGTTAGTTTTTTTGGGTTTTTTTTGTTTTGTTTTATGGCATATCAACCTCAATGGGTTACTTAATGCCAACAAGATTTTTATTGCTGGTAATACTTTTTTTAAATGTATTGCTGGTAATATTTTTTTTTTTCAAAAATTTATTGCTGGTAATAATGTTCTTTATAAAGTATTTCTGGTATTGAAACCTATTTTTACACTTTCATAGTGTTTTGACCCCAGTTTGGGGGTTAACTATTTCCCATAGCTGGGACCCCAACAGGTGTTATCCTCCAAGGTCAGGGTGGACCTGGGAACACAAGCAATTAAGAGGTGGTTCCCCGCTCCTCAAAACCTCCTGATTAGAGGCCTTGCTGTTGGACGTAGTTTATCGTCTTACCCAGGATGCAGATGGAGTTTATCATCATACTCAGGACATTCATCCGTTATCTCTGATAAGAATCAAGGGGTTGGGAGCTGTTTTTTGGAAGTAAGGGTCTATCAAGTTGTGAGTGTTACCCACTGGCTTTATGGCACCATGGTCAGAGTAATGGTGGTCAAATTCCTTTTTATATTTTCCTGCTCTCTTGTTTGTCAAAAAATATATTCTTATCTCTGATAAGGATCAAGACTTTGGGAGCCGCATTTGAAAGCAGGGGTGAAAGTTGGGGCAAAGATCAGAAAAGAAATGCGAACTTGTAAAATATTGTAGTAGTGGTTTTCAAATTCATTTCTAATACCAAAGCAAATCAGCTTTTTTTGTAATAATTTCCTTCATTTATTTTATTTTTATATAATTATATCTATCGTTGAGTGTGTGTATATCTTCAAAGCCTCAATATGACACAATGTGATTAGCCAGTATTACAGTATAATGGTTAGTAACTTGAAATGAGAAATCAGGAAGTTGGGTTCAAATTCCGGCCAAGTTTATTATGTTCATTTGCACAAATACCCTTCAAAAACGTATGAAGTCATCTTTCTCCTCCAGCCAACCAGCTGTAAAGAGCAGAGCTGTCTGATCTTTCTAGCCTTTGCTGTCTGGGGATTATCCTCACTTGGTCTGCCAAGGCTCTGTTACATGGTGTTGTTTAAGGACTAAAAAAAAAATGGCACTTTCCTCTCTTTTTCATCATTTCCTCTTAGCATGTAGTAGGAGCAACACCAACATTGGACTCATCCCTGCTGGAGGCAATAAATATCTTTCTTCTGTTGACTGACATTTTACACACACACATACAGACACATACAATTCCTAATAGCTAACCTTTTCCACTATTTGTATGTATACTAGTATATTTTCCCTTGTAGTAGTAAGTAAAGTTTAATAAATAAAATATTCCTTAAATCACTTGAAAAGTATCACCTACTTACCTCATTAACATGTAGTGGCACTAAGAGTGAAAACAGTAATTTACCTCTTTTATAGCTTAAAACATAATGACATATTTCAGGCTTTGCGCAATAGGCTCCATGCATAACTTCCAGTTGAAGTTCATTAAATGCAATCCTAATAGTATAAATAGACCCATGTCTAAAACAACAAAAGATTCCAACAGAGAAGTCACAGAGAGATGAACACAAATGTGAGCGGATACATCAAAGAGATCTCAGCTTCAACAACCACTACCACTCCTCACACCTCTCGTCATTTTCACTCCTTTTACTTCTCTCAGACATTCAACTTCCTTTTTCTCATTCACAGGACACATTACCAAATGAAACACTTATTTAATTTTACTTGAATTATAAATAACAACCTTGTGCTATCTATATTGTTTTTGTAAAATACAAAACCACTATTTAATGTTTATATAAATTATTATTGTTATACTCCAGATTTGATTGTATTTTCAAAATTGATTTATCATGTTTAACTTACTCCTTCATAAATCCCTTATATTGGGTTAATCCTGACAAGGCCCAAATCTAACCACAAATAACCCACTATAAACATTAACTGCAGTATTCTTAAGCACAGGTCAATTAATTAACTTCATTTCTGAAACCAGATATTTGAATAGACAAAACAAAAGTTCAAACACCCTGTACCAAAGCAAAGTACAATGCTACATGCACTCCCAACCACTTACTAACCTCAATATAAACTCAGGGAAACATCAGGCCTAGAGGACTGTTCTCTCTACCTTTTCATTAGATAGTGGAAAAGGCTGATCCACTCCCTAACTACATGAGAACTAATTAAGACAACTGCCTGCTACAAAGGAGAAAAAGACTCTCTTTCTCTCTCAACATACCATAATTTACAATCTCTGTTGCACAAGAAGGATACAATTTGTATTCATAAAAAAGAAAATAAACATTCCAAAACAATGTTCACTCAGCGTTCATTCATTTTGAATGTCAAAACCAGCATTCTGTGTCAACATGCACACACTATTATGTTAATCAATAATTAGTTATATAAAAATACAGGACTTACTTCCACTCATTCCACATTGATTTGATTTCTTTTTACCTCTGACAACTTTCGTCATTTGCATGTAAAAATTTTGGTTGTCACTGCTTTTAGTTAAGTTAGAAGTAGTATCCGCCATAGCTGGCAACCAGGAAAGGAGAACTCTGATTCCAAGACTAGCTGGTGTGCTAATGAGCAGATAAAAATCTCTTCAACTATAGTTGGCAATCTGTCCAGTGATCAATCAATAAAAACACCCCTCCCCCAATTGTCTGAACCATATATTGATATGTGTCGCTCAGTAAGAACACAATACATGAAATTCTTAAGCTGTGAGATAAGCAATCTGCTACAAGCAGAGATAGCATCCAATTTTTTTACCAGGTAGTAATGAAATTTGTACATGGATTTATATAATTTCTTGTGATTATGGATGCAATCACTTATTTTTTATAATAATGTTTACTCTGTACAAACCTAAGAGACATTTGAGGTAGCTTGTTACAAAGTAAATAGGGACTCAGTTTATTGGGATATGTAGGGAAAATAATGGTTACCCATTGACTTGAACAGGTTAAAATTGTAGTGATCAGGGAAACATCCTCTTGGGAGACAGTTCTGCAAAGCGGTGATTCATGGAAAGAAGCTGATGGAGTGGCATGTACATTTCATGGATGGAATATGAAGGGTACTAGGGTGGTTCATTACAATATGTATGGCATGGCAGGTCTTAGAACTGGTGGAACTAAGGAATGTTGTTCACCTGAATACTTCCCATAAAAATAGCAATAGATTTTTGTCTGTAAAAAAATAATTCATTACCCACAAGGACATAGAAATACTTTCGGACTCTGTTGAAACTGGAAAATTAAAATTGGTGCATGCCGCATCCATATGGCAGCAGTGTGGAATGGCAGGTCTTAGCCATGAAGTTTAGAACTGGTGGAACTAAGGAATGAAGTTCATCTGAACTCTTTTCATGGAGATAGCAACAGAGTTATTGACATTATAAATGATCTCCATTTTCTGTGGTTTTAGTTTGGCAGATTCAACTCTAGAAAGTAAACAATTGGCAAACTTGGAACTTTGTGTTTCCAAAAACAAAAATAAATAAATGGAGTGTCAAAATGGAATATTACTATTTATTTTTTATATTTTTTATTGGAATGGTTGTCAAACCATCAGCTAATTGCCAATCGATTCAAACTTTATAAAATGGTAAATAATAAGGATTTTCTTATAGTTAGTTCACATATTTAAACAGTTTAGAAAATATTTATAAATTACCATTACTTCTCAGCAATGTTTTTTTTAAAAAGTGATTATTAGAATTTTGATAAAACCTGAAGATATGGAAGTAAATTTATACATTTTCTTTGTTCTTGAGAATTGACAAAATAGGCATTTATTAGATTATTTATTAGAATGATTGTCAAAGCATTGGCTAATTGCTAATTGATTCAAACTTTATAAAATGGGAAATAATAAGGATTTCTATTTAGTTGGTTCACATATTTAAACAGTTTAGAAAATATTTATAAATTTATGAATTAAAAATTTGTTTTCATATTTAATTCTTTATAAATTGGTAAATTATAAATATGGCATTAGTTTTAACTGTATTAGTTTTTAGAATGTTGTAAATGTAAAATTATTCTTGTAAATAAAGTGTAATAAATAAAAGTGTTTAATAGTTTTATAAATTTCAAAGAAGAAAAAAATTGTATAAATTCACTTTCATCATTTCTTTAGGATTTATTAAAATTCTAATTATCGCTTTTAAAACAATAAACACTGCTGAGGAGTGAAGGTAGTTAAAATAATAGCAGTGTCAAGGGAAAAAAACCATCATTTTGACATTCTGTTTTTTTTTTCAGACATGAATGCCCAAGTTTGCTAAAGTGTATACAAAAATGAGGTCACATGCAAATAAATAATGTAAAATAACAAAGAACATGTTTAATTAGCAGTGTACCACTTTATTAAATACTGATAATACAATTGTAGTGAAATTGCATAAATGTATGTATATATTGTTGTACAGTGCTATTGCTAACTGTTGCTGGTCTTGTTTGGATGGTCAAATGAAGGAATTTACTGCTAATCCCCTTTAGGAGAAAGGAAAGGTGATGTTTCATCCAGCAGCAAATGAGAGAAAGGAGCAAACAATCCTTCATATTCTCCAAACAAAGAATAAAACAGCAAACTTGATCAAATTTGAGTACAATTTAATAACAGCAATGATAACAATTAAAAGAAAGAGAAAAAGAATTCCCAAAAGGACAGAAGAGTTAAAGAGCTCACAAAATGTCTAGAGAATCAAAGTTTGGGAAAATCAAATGTCTGTGTATATAAAGATGTGTGAGTGTGTTTGTAATATATGCATGTATGAAGATATATATATGTGGGTGTGTATATGTATATACTTATGGATAGAAGTAACTCATTTAGGAAGATTTTTTCTGCAGTCAGTGTAGTTGGGTGTTTGGGCAAGTTTTTCCTCACATTTGTGTTGAGCTCCCTGTATGGTGTGAGTTCCTGGATAAAGAAAGGCTTTCTTTGTTTTGGTATGAGTAAGTAGAAATGCCATGCATGTCCCTGTGTGCATTTACTGTGGGTCCATATGTGTATGCTCTGTGTGAGCTTGTGGTCCATTCTTATATAGGCCAGAGATAGGCTCCAAATGGAAGCCAAAATTTAATAGTTTTTGTTATGTTCCCATTGGTTAAGAATAGTTATATGGTATGTTTATTAAGCTATCTACATCAAAGTGACACCAAGATCTTGTTTTACATGTCTATTTTTAGACCTGGAAAAATTGTAGTTGTAGAGGAAATTTGAAAATGCATTTTTGTTTATTTATCTTTATTTATTTTTGTGTATTTTTGAAGTCTCAAGAATATGTACATTTTTATTAACATGAGGTAAATCTGATCAGACTTAGCCTGGTCAGCTGAGGGTGATCATACTTAGCCTGACCATATTTAGCCTAATAAGCTAACCTGGATCATACTAAGCCTGAGCAGCTGAGCCTTATCATACTTAGCCTGGTCAGCTGAGTGTGATCATACTTAGCCTGGTCAGCTGAGCCTTATCATACTTGGCAGATTCTCAAGTTTGGGCCTTATTTCATGTTTAAAATATAATGCCAGTGAGTATTAATTGAAGTAAAAAAAAACAAAAAAAAACTGAGTTTAGCTTTATGCTTAAAATTTGCTTAATATTTTATTAACTAATCCAGACCTGTTTTTAAAAAATCATTTCATCCTGAGCAAGGTAATAAAGCCACTAAGATGTAAGAGGATAATAAATAATAAATCAGCAGGGTTTAATAAGATAGAAAATGATGTTCTATATTACACTAGCAGTAGAGCCCGGCATTGCCCGGGGATGTAACAGTAAGAGATAGATCAAGTATCAACCATCATAAAGACTGAAAAATAAAATTGACAAAGATTATTGTTTAAGGTTGACAGACACACATGTCTTAATTAGTTTATTTTTTTTTTTTTTATGAATTGGTCAAACTTGTATGTATGTAGCAAAGGCAGAGGGAATTTGAAAATACATTAAAAAAAGTATTTAAGAAAAGCAAAATAAAAAACTACAACCGTGTGTCATATCAGTGTGAAATAAAGACTCCACATGCAAAACCATTGACCTGTGTCCAATTTTGCCACTTTGGGGCTTCAAGTAAATTCTGTAACTTATTTCAAGTCAATTAAAACATTTGAACTAGAACTGGCTTCATTGTTTTCATAATGAGTAACGTAACAGTTATTGGTATGGAAATTGAAATCAGAGTTCAAATTCTAGCTTAATTTGTTGCATTTACTTTCACATTAATACCCTTGGAAAAGGCATGAACCCCTCTCTACTCTTAAAAACTATAGATTAAATAGCAGAGTAGTCTGGGTTCTTTAGCTATGGGTGGCAGCCAGTCTAAGAGAAAAAAACTCTGAATTTCAATATGGAGGAGGCAACTGGAAACCTCTCCTCTATCTTTCCCAATAAGTTATCACAGTTCACAAATAATAAAGAAAAGGAATCTGCGGAGAGCCATGATCACCTACAGCCTGAAATGATAGGAGAGCTTCGACGTATTATAATGGTTATCAAGATGGTCTTGCTAGATCAGTTATTAGTGAGTTCGATTCTCACTGGGTGCTCAATCGTTTTGACCTTCCGCCACATCTTAGTAAATAGTAACAACTTGAAAAGGGAGTAGTAAAAAAAACTAAGGGCAGGTAACTCATTGGCTTATCTCCCCTTGTCATTAAACAAACACACGACAAGTCATATTGTAAATTGATTTACTTTTTTTTCTCTCTCTTATTAGAGAGATAAAAACAAATTTAAGACTCATAAGAAGATCATTTTTATTTTATTTTATATTTTATCGTCTTTGGAGACAACTGGAAAATCAATTAAGTGTGCCCAGCTGTTTTATCGTATCTCTAAAGTTGTTTTATTGTCAACAAATACATCATGGTCCAATGTTTTGAAGTTGAATGCAATCATGCTAGCGAAAAGCAAACATGTTCTTTTTTCCGTATACCATCAAATCAAAAGTTACGCCTCAACTGGCAGATTGTCTTCGATAGGTAAGTGTCTACCTACCTGAAGAACTGTTTCCACAGTTCTCGAAAAATAAGGTGAAACTGAAACAATTCATTTTCTTTTTTCTAAGAAGTCTTTCTTTCATTTAATTCTGTCGCGCATTGAAGAAAATAGCAAGTTTTCTCTTCCGAGCTGTGTGACAAACATTGAAAAATGTTTTAAAAATTCATACGTCGTTTAAACAAAATATTTCCACAGCTGTACAGTTTGCTTAATTTAAAGTTTTTTTTTTTTTTTAAATAATAATTAAGCTTAAGAATAAGCTTTGCAAAATCCGTTAAGGGCCAGATTGAAGGATTTTAAAAACGTCCATTTCCAATGTAGGCGGAACCTCCTCATTTGAAAGAAAAGCAAGATGGAATAATAAATAATCCTTAAAATTAGGGATAGTCAGCTTTTTGAAGAGAAGATATTTCATAAGCAAAATACTTTAAGAAATGATTTTATGCTCTGGGTTGGAAGCCTTCCGACCCCATAACGTATGGCAATTAATAATTAAAAAAAAAAAGTTTCAGAAGATAAACAAAAGGTAAAAAGATATGGCATTAAAAAAGTTAGTAAAATAAAATGAATTAATTCCTCTTATAAAAGTTTTAGAAGTCATTCACACTAAAATTTATTTATTTCTCTTGTCTTTGAAAAGTTCCTGCAGTTAGGAACATTCATTGAACTTTGTGGAAAAATTCATTGCCAATTAATTTACACGTGTAATAAACAACAAACATTTAAAGTCGTGGAGGGTGTGGGTTTGTATACTAATTTTATTATAGAAATTAACTCAAGTACAGGATGGTTAGTTAGGTGTAAATAAACATGGTTATCGTGGATTTTATTTTTAACATTATAAATAAATTTCGCATTCAAAAATTTAAATTTCTTTACCTGGCCTCATATTTAGTGCTGGATTTACAAGACTCGGGCCGGGCCCCGTTAAAACTTAAAAAAAAAAGAGGCGATTTGGTTATTTTCAGATTTAATGGGGCTCCTTTGAACTAATTAACTAATTTGAAGCAATTTTTAGGCTCCTCTAGTCAAGTTGGAGTGGGTCTTTTAAATTCGATTTTATTAAAAAGCAAGGCAGGATAAAAAATATATAATAAAAATGATAAAAGATTTACAAACAATCTTCAAAAAATTGAAAAAAAAAAACTTTGAGAAGCTAACAAACTTTGGATAAAGCAAAAAACACTCTTTAAAAAAAAAAAATAATGAGTGCACACACCTAATTATAATAGACGAAAAAATCAGAGAACAAAAATAGCTTTGGCAATTTTAAACCAATGGTAGGGACTTTTTACAATTTATCTTTTTTAGAACACAATTCTAGTCACTATTTTCAGTTCCTTTTTTTATGTATGCTTCTGGGTCCTTAACAGTCTGCCTTCAGGACGAATTTAATAGTATATGTTTTGAATTTAAAAAATTAATTTGAAATGATCCACCTTGACTGAAATATTTTGACATTTCTTTTACAGCCAATTCTAAAAGTAGAAAATTTCTCAGACAAAAATGTAACAATTTTTCATGTACCATCTGGCTTTCTTTAAAATACACTTATCTAAAAATTGTGTAAACTGATCTAGTACACTTTTTTTATTAATTATTATTTTTAATTATTTTGTATTACTGACTAATAAAAATTTTTTATGGTGCCCAGCTGAAAGTCTTAATGGTACAAAATTATGGTCATCCGTGTTGATATTGTAGGGCTTGGTGGCTCCAGCCACGCTTTTTCTCTAGAAGTGAGAACAAAACAGAAAAAAACTAAATATGACTTCTTGGTCTCAACCTTGGTCTTTTAGCTGAGATCAAAGTGTAGTACCTGCCTTTGAGCAGACAAACCATATTTTATCTCTCAATTGTGTTTCTGTTTTTAGACAGAGCACAATTCAGTTATCTCTTTGTCTTTTGGAAGAGTGTAACTGAAAATGTTATCGAGAAGTGTCCAGTTCTGTAGAACAGCTGCCTGAAACAATACCTCCCTCATTGCACTAAAAAGCGGAGATCAGTAGTAGTACTGATGTCAGTACAACCAGCAGTTGCAGGAACTGGGCTATTTTGGCAGCTGGCCCTGGTGCATGTGTTCATGATCAAAACATTAAACTGACCTTGTGTCACATCCTGCCAGTGTTGGGGTGGCAAGTAAATACCAAGTGTAGTATCTTTTTTTTTTTTTTTTTAAGCATTTCACCCTAAGCAAGGCGGGAAGCCACTAGGACGCAAGGGGTTACAGAAAATATAGAGCGAGATCAGATAGGAGTGATAGAAGAGGGGATGAGGAGAAGGGTAGTGGGTAGATCAAGGCAACTGGAGATGTCGATTGACATTACACTTGAATAGCTGGAGATTATAGCTCTCAGGGAAACTGGAATAGGGAAGAAAGTTCCACAGGCAAGAGGTGCGAGACATGAAGCTATTAGAGTAGAAGAGACTGCTACATTTAGGAGTTTCGACAATGAAAGGGTGAGAGTGGGATGCCAGCCTCGTAGGGCGCTTGAACTCATGAAGTCTGGGAACCAGCGAATGCAGCTCCTTGGAGCAATTGCCATGAAAGTATTTGTAAAAAAGACAGAGAGAGGTGACGGCATGTCTGTGAGAAAGTGACTGTAGACGAGATGCCAGAGCAGGGCCAATTATATTGCATATCCGCCTCTGGAGCCTATCAAGAACCCCGAGGCAAACAGAAGTGGCACCAGACCATATATGGCAGCAATACTCCATGCAAGGGCGAATCGTTGATTTGTAGATCTGGAGGATCGATCCCGGGGAGAAAAATTTCCTGGCGCGGCACAGGGAGCCAACTTTCCTTGCAGTGGACGAGGCAATTGACTCAATGTATTTGTTCCATCTCAGGTCAGGAGTCAACGTGAGACCGAGCAGCCGCAGAGAGTTGCTCTCGAGAAGTTGAGCGTCAAACATTCTAATGGAGGGCAAGGAAGGATCTCTGTGGTGATTAATAGAGAGCAGTTTTGTTTTTGAAGTGTTAAAGTTGACCAGCCACTTCCTGCCCCAGTTCACAACCGATTGGAGGTCCTTTTCGAGATGCACGGCCAAGTTAGTTTTGTCAGTGACACTAGATTTGTTTTTGAGGCAGGAATAAATTGTGGTGTCATCCGCGTAGATGCCAACTTGGGAATTTATGGCATCAGGAATGTCATTTATGTAGATAAGGAATAGAGTGGGGCCTAGGATGGAGCCTTGAGAAACACCTGCGTCCATGGGATAGGAACTAGAGGAGAATCTGTTGAGAATGACCTTCAATTCACGGTTTGACAGGAATGATTGTATTAGGTCAAACAATCGACTCATAATGCCATAACCCTGGAGCTTGCGAAGAAGGCTGGCATGCCAAACCCTATCAAATGCTTTGGAGATGTCTACTGCCATGGCACGAGCTTCCCCATTATTTTGAAGAGCTCGGTAGACGGTTTCAGTGATGGCCGTAAGCACATCAGCTGTAGATCAGGCAAAGCGGAAGCCATATTGCTTGTCTGAGAGCAGATCATGGGATGTGAGGTGGTTAACCACCCCGGTATTGATTAGAGCTTTGAAGACTTTGCTGAAGAGGGGTAGGAGACCGATAGGACGGTAGTTAGAAGGGTCAGAGGGGTCGCCAGAGTTCTTAAAGACAGGAACAATTGCAGCAGTCAGGAAAACAAGATTCCTTGAAGCAGTAGTTGTATAGTTTAGAGAGGGCGGGTGCCAGTTCCGGCACGCATTTCTTCAAGACAATGGCTGGTATCCCATCTCCACCACTAGCCTTGTTGGGGTCTAAATTGGAAATAATGCCCAGTGACGGGGTTATATGTAGCTTCAGTTCTAAGAGGGAAGTCGGGTATGGGTACACCGGAAAAGTCGAAAAAAGAAAGGAATGAAAATTTCAAGCAAAGCATTCGCCTTGTTGGCAGAGGAGGTCAGGACTTGAACTGGTTGAATAAAGGAGGTATAGAGGGTTTGCAATTGTTCACCATTTGCAGAGACGCCAATCTCTTTGGAGCCAAATTTGCGAGATGCAATATGCTCCTTCATCCGAGCCTCAAATAGTGACTTAGCATCGTTGAGGACACGCTTACACTCATTACGGGCAGAGTCAAAGAGACGTCTTTTGCAGTCAGACATATCGCTACGGAATAGGTGAAAGTAGTGGTTTTTATGGGCGATGGCGGTTGAGCAAGCAGCGGAGAACCAGGGGGAGGAGTGCGACTTGACCCTATATTTCCTTGATGAGATGAAAGCATCGATTCCAGCTTTAACCCAGGATGAGACCTCAGAAGCACATTCTTGGACAGGGACCGTAAAGACTCCATCCCATGGGACATTGCGGAGGAAATCACGGAACGTGTCCCAGTCAGCTCGTTGATACGAGAACAAAGTTCTAGTGGTAGGAGGTTCTTTATAGGGGGTGGAGTTGAAGGAGATGTTAACAGATACTACCGCATAATCAGAGTTACCAAGAGGGCAGAGTTGCGAGGCGCTGCAAGACTCGGGCATGGAGGTAAAACACAGATCAAGAAGAGAGGCTTTACCTTCCCGGTTGAAGGCAAAACGAGTGGGGAAGTTAACTATCTGTGTGAGGGATTGAGAGACTGAAAAATTGAGCGTTTGAATGCCTGTGTGGTCAGTAGTAGCATTCTTAAGCCACATGGTATGATGGGCGTTAAAGTCGCCAAACACAAATATGTGAGCAAACGGGTGAAGGGAGAGAGCCTTGTCTATGCTGTCCGAAATGCTATCGAGTATCCCACAGTCTTGAGAGGATGGAGAGCGGTAAAGGAAGAAGAGATAGCTTACCACATTGAGGAGAGATAGTCGGAGACACATGTACGACTGGTTTGGCGATTCGAGAGAGAACTCTCTAGCCAGAGGGAGATATTCCTTGACATAGACACCAAGGCCATGCATGTGGGTTAGAGAGTCTTTTCTGAGGAGAGGAAGGTAGCCTGGGATCGAGAGATCAGAAGAGGGGATAGATGAGACAAGCTTGGTCTCACAAAGAGCCAGTATATCTGAGCAGTTTGCAGTGAGGAAAGATTCCATACTGCAGAAGTTTGTTCTAATGCCACGGATCATTTGAGATGGGAGAAGGCTCCCAGTCCCAGGGATTACAACCCAAGTAGAAGCACCTCCTTGATCCATCTCCTCCTTTAAAATGTGTAGTGAAAGAGATAATCAGCTACCTCGAAAAAGAGTTTGTGTTTTAAAAATTACCAAAAAGTAGTTAGCAAAAATCTACTTTAAGGACCAGAATCTATACTAATGTTCTTTCCTCCCCTGAATGGCATGACCAATCAGAAAGATCTCTCGGTGAACAAAAGCTGTTGTTTTTTGCTTATGTGGGGATTAGATTTTCTGAGCTTGGTGGCCGAACATGCATTTTTGCTGGTGAGAAGTAAAGGTTGGTTGTGTGACCCCATTTTGTCATTTCTATGTTGTCTGTTGGACTGTTAGGACAGACTATTATTTGAACTGTGATTTGGCTACAAGTGTTGCAGTCGAGAGACAGAAGAAATCTATTGCAGGTGTTTGTTGCTACTATAAGCCGACAGTTTTTGTTTTTCTTTTCTTTACAACTACAAAACGACCTTATGCCACATTCTGCCTTAGTTGGGAGACCAGGTAAATAAAATCTATCATAATGCTACTGAGCTGAGCTGTGTCACTTGCCTAGAAAAAAAAAATGATTACTGTCATTAATTTAAAAAATAAATCAAATCCTTTTTTTTAAAAGCTTCTACATAAGTCTTGTATGAATAAAGAAGATTGGAAATCTAATTCCATTCCTAAGTACAAATGAACAGCAAAAACAAAAAAAAAAATTGTATTTAAAATTGAAACAAAAAAATAATTGTAAACATTAGTGTTAAAGATCTGGAAAAAAAAAGGATTTTTTATGAGAAGATGTATATCTTCTCGTAAAACACCTACTGTGAAAATAGAAATTAATAAGAAAAGCTAGAATATGTAGGTCATTAAATGACCCATGTCCTTTGTGCATACACGAGAAACTAGGTTTATAAAAAATGAAAATTTACTTAAAGAAATGAAATAGCTATTCTTTGCTGACATTGTCAAAAATTTTCCTTTATGTTAAAAAAAAAAAGCTGATAAATGAAATATACATATTTATATTTGATATTTAATAATAATTTTTAAATAATTTAAGTAATTCTATTATATTTATTTGTTTTAAAAGAAGAATGGTGTATTAGTAATTAAAATTAATACTATTTTAAAATTGTAGTTCAATACAATGTATTCATATACAAATAAACCATTATGTATACAAGTACAAATTTAACAGCAAAACAAAAGTGCCGAAAAACATTTTGTTGTTGATAAAGACCAGACGACATGCATTGAATGGATGTCATCATTCGTTGGAAAAAGGCACTCCTACCCTACTTAACCTCTTTTCATAAGTAACTCATATTTTGATATAATAGTTGTCAGTGAAAATGAATACTCTACTGCCCCTTGTTAAAATGATTGAATTTCCCCATGTCCTTAGAAACTAATATTAAGAATGTATGTACTTATAAAACTCAGTAAATTTCAAAATAAGTTATTCCAAAATTCTCTTGAAAATGAAACAGGACTAGGTACTTTAATTTAATTCTATAATTGAAGTTGAAGATTTTAGTTTCACTTTTTTGAAACATGGTAATTCCTGTGTAGCGATGGAACCATATTTTTAAATTAGTAAATTTATTATATTTATGCTCTGTAGATTTGCATTGAGCACTGTTTTGTAAAAAATATAAATAATTAATAAGAACACTGAATTATATATCTTACTGTTCGCTCTTTTTATTATAACACACACACACACATATATATATATATATATATATATATATATATATATATATATAATAAGGAGAAAGAACAGTAAGATATTATAGGGCACATAGCAAATGGTTAGAATGTTTGCACTCAGACCATGAAACCTGGGTTTGAATCTCACCATGATTGAGTTGTCAGGAAGGAGACTTTCTGATGTTATCAGACTGGAGGGGTCAATCACAGCATGTGACACTTTTGGAAAGTGACAGAAAGCCGTACCATGGGTTGACCAAGCCTTGTGAGTGAAATTTGGTAGATGGAACCCTTGGGGACCGTCAAGAGCTGTACTAGCACAAAAGTCACAGGTCATTGTGGCCTAGGGCTTCAGCATGTGGGTCTTGTTTAAATTGCTGATCACACTAGATAACATGTTCTTTCCCAGAAACTGGAACGAAGGTCTGCTCAGCATAGCTGCAGTATAAACCACAGGTGGGTTCTGTGGGTGTTGAATAAACACAAATGCATCTGAGCTAGCATCTGTAATAGGGATTGGCTAGTCACCATAGTAGACAGGTATCCTTGAATACAAGTGGCCAACCAAATTTTTAGTTAATACTCATATTTGAGTAGATGCTCCGTTTAATTATTAAACAATGTATTTATTTTTGTCTACTGGCCTGAATGTTTGAGAAATCTACTCTCTAGCAGGATTTGAACCTGCGTCCCCCAGGGGAAACTGGTATTAGATCTGATATGCTTTGACTTCTTGACTACATAGTACATCAGTGACCAAGCATAGCTGAATAGTGCCTTTAAACACAGATTTTTTTTCTCTGACTCTCAAAACCTTCATATTTGCTCACTTACATATTCTAACATAAACAAAGCAATTTCTAAAAAAAGGATGGATTTTTTATTTATTTATCTGACAGATTTTATTACTTAAGCATTATTTTTAGTGGAGTAGATTTTATTTGTGTCGATGTTCCATGGAGTGTCTACTCAAACACAGTTATCCTCAAAAATAATGTTTAAGTAATAAAATATTTCAGATTAATAAATAAAACTTCATGACTTTATATATATATATATATATATAAGGCTTAAACACTAATATTCCAAGTTTATAATTTATTACATTGGAATCGTTATCACGGTCCAATTCATCAGACAAATTCAAAAAAAAAGAAAACTATATATAACAAATCATTACGTCTTTTCCGAAAGTCATGCCCCCTCACTTAATTTTCAGAGAAGAGGTAACGATTTGTTTTTAAATTTCCCTAAAAATCATTTTATATCCAGTTGCCAACCATTATCTCTTATAATAAAAAAATATAGTAGTAATTATATAAGTGGATATTGAGGTCAACAGCGACAGTCTGTTTCATGCTTAAATGCAATCCTCAGGCCATGTGTATTGCATTTTGGCTTGACTATTTATAAATGCTTGTCAGTGATACATTATAGGTAGGTCTATTGTATTATTTGAATAGTTATTGGGTGGGCAGTAATGGCTATGTTTCAAATTAATCTAAGTGTTATTGAGTGGAAATAATTGTGAATCTGAATGTCAGAAAAGAAACAGGGCCAAAGTCACAAAAAAATTAAAACTACAAGTTTTCTGCTTCGAAAATTATTCTGCTCTAGTCTAATACTCTTTTCCATTTTTCTCTAACACACGTATATTCTTTCTAGGAAGGATTCTCCCAGGATTCCCTGCAGCTCTGTCAACATAACTCACTTGATGGCTCCCATATCTGAAAAAAAAAAAAAAACCAGGTCCCCTTGATCAACATCACTATGATGGAACAACCACCCTACTCATCCACCCTGGCTCTGTATGATTTATTTTTTCTTTACCCCAAGTTCAGTGGGGAGCATCAAGGGGACCTGTTTTCTGGATGTGGGGGGCATCAAGGGGACCTGTTTTCTGGATGTGGAAGCCATCAAGAGGACCATGATGATGGAGCTGCAGAAACTCCTTCCAGGGGTGCATGGAGGCATGTCGGAGAAGGATGAGAAAGTGTGTTAGACCTGAGGGGGATAATTTTGAAGGGGGGAAACTTGTAGTTTGGTTTTGATATAAAATTTTTGTGACTTCAGTCTTGTTTCTTTTTGGACACACCTTATAAATATGACCCCCACTTGAGCTTAGGAAACAAATACTATGAAGGCAGGTTGAGTAAGTAGGCAGTTTGCTCCAGTCTGGCAATCTTCATTAAGGAAACTCATTTTCTGGATGTAAGTGCCATCAAGAGGGATGTGATGACTGAGCTGCAGAGAATTCTGGGAGAATCATTTTAGGGGTACAAGGAAAGAGTATTAGACTCAAGGACGATAACTTTGAAGGGGGAAATTTGACATAACTTTTTTGTGACTTCAGTCCAGTTTCTTTTCTGTCACACCTTGTATGTTGGTATATACAAATCACAGCTGGAAATTTGGAAATAAATTAAATGACTCAAAAAGAAGAAATACACATTATAAATGATATTGAATTTTCCATTTGTCTTTTAGACGCAAAGACAAAAAATGGACACCTCACTCCCGTCTCTGCAGCTGCCACTTTTTAGATGGTAAGAAAGAAAATGGACCGACAATATTTAACTCTACAAACAATGTCTCTTTTAAAAAGAAAAGGTAAGTTCTATACCATCTGCTTTATTATTGTTTTATACATTTTCTCTCTCTCTAAGGAGGCACACTGGATAGTGGGTCAGATTGTGGAATTGGTGAGCTGAGTTTGAATTTCAGTCTAGTTTATTGCATTCACTTACATGCTAATACCATTGGGAAAGGTATGAATTCATCTCATCCCCCTGCCCAGCTATGGGTAAATAACAGGACAGATTGGGTTCTCTATCCTTGGTTGGTAACCAGTCTAGAAGAAGGAAAACTGAATTCAAACTACCTTCTTGTAGTACCTTTTTAGGCAAAAGACTAAAAGAAGTTAACTTCAAAAACAAATCCACCTCACATGTTGTCTTGAAGAAAGGAATCTACTCACATCTCTAATTTGAGCAGTGACAGAAAATAATGGCCTCCTTGGTGTTAGACTTCTACACTGATGTGAAATTGGAAAGAAATTTATATTTATTAAATGGCACAAAAACAATACAAATTTATAATACAAGTTTGCACAAAATTTTCCTTTGTTTGCTTTACAATTTAGCAAGATAACAAGTTCTAAAAATCAGTTTGATAAGCTCATAGAAACTGATATAAATTTTCAATAAAATATTCACTTTAATACATTCAACACTCAAAAAACTTTGAGAAGGCTGACAAATTCATAAATGTTGTGGCGTAACATTAACAATAGCTCAGTTTTTAAACTGAAATTCAACATTGAGATAAATCACTCTTTTTTTTTTATTTTTAAGTTGAAAATTACGTTTAATACCACAAATTTTGTGAATCTTTCTTTTTCATCTGTTACTTCCTTTTTGTTGTCAGTGGCAACGTGGTCAGTTTTTAGTTCTTCTTTGTTCGTCTTCCTTTTTGTCATAATAATAGTCATTGGCATCATGGATGCCATAGCCCCTCAATCTTTTGCTCTCCTAGTGACTTTTGCCTGTGGAAGCCAATACACTTCAGCTTTCTGCCTCCCAGCAGCCAACTGTCTTTGTATGTGAAAACTAAATCCCTTCTCTGACAAACCAGACTTCTTAAATAGCCATGAATCAGCTCCCAGTTGTATCAAAAATTTGTTACCTTGGGCTTGTAATTTATTTTCCCTACTGGTTAAAAAATTACAAAATGTATCTTTTAAACCCTGCCTCTTTGCAAACTTTATTTAGACAGGTTTTGAAACCATAAGACTTGAGCCTGCTTTTTTTTACAAAGTTGAAAAGCAAATTTTACACATATATCTTTTTCATAAACTTCATATTGGTTGTATTTACAACATCAAATGTTGTGGTTTAAATGAGTCTCTATTACTCACACGTCACTCGTACAATTCAATCCACCATTCTTGCTTTCTGCACACTTCAAAACGTAAACCCGTCTTTTCTCCTCTTCTCACTGACTGCTTCAGCCCTCTTTTATCAGGCCAACACCGTGGTCGACCAACCAATCAGCATTCTTCACTTTTATTCTCAGTTATCCAAGTAAATAGCTTACTTCAATTCGACCAATCAGCACAGGACTTGCTATTGGTCGAAGCATGCCAAATTGTACAAAAATCCTTGTTACTGCACATACTGCTGGAATGGCTAGACAGGAGAGTAATGCTATTTTCAAGGAGCAAAATTGCTGATGCCATGTGCTGCATGTTGAAGTAAGACCCTTATTTTCCTTTGCACCAGGTGCAAGCCACTCTGGCTCAATTGCTTCTATGGGACTGTTCACCGCAAATGTATAGGATTTAAAGATTGTGTGTTGGTGTCCTTTATGTGGGTGCCTGTTCATATGTAAACAATTAAAGGAGGACCATACAAAAAACTTTGGTTTATATTACATACTGTTTATTCTTTTTTTTTTAGGGTGATTACTGTAGGGAAACAAATTTCTCAATTGCTCTTGGATATGTCTGTTTTCTGTTTCTGACCCACAATTTAGGGTAAGTAAGGATGTGGCACTGGGGTCTTAGAGAGTTAACCAGGAAAGAGAAAAGGGAAGTGTAAAGAGAAAAGGAGAAAAAAAAAGAAAAAGAAAACAGGAAGTGAAGAAAAAAAGTAGCAAAGAATATGAAAGGATTGAGTTGCATTCTTTTGAGGAGTCAGTGTACTAAAAAGGAAAATAATTAAACTGAAAGTACAAATGACTGTTGGATAAACAAACAATTTTTGAGATCTTGGGAAAGGGTTGGTGGGAGTTGGGGGCATCTGGATTTTCTCTGGTTAACTTAGAGTGACCTGGGGAAGAGCTAGGTGGTCTTGCTGACCGAGAAACACATAAACAGAGAAAGATAATTTTTTATTAGTTAAGATGTTGGGAATATTTTTCTTTCTTTTTTGACCACCCATGACAACTGTGGAATTAACAAAACAATTTTTGAAAATTGGCTGGCAGGGGTCATCTGGATTGACTCTGATTATCTTAGAATATGGTCAAGCCCCTGACTTTGGGAAATCACATTAAAAAAAAAACAGAACAAAACAAGCTGATAAAGAAAGATTAATTACTGGAAACCCCCTTTTTGTCTAGGCATTCTAAAGGTTAGATTTTTTGCAAAGGCAGTAGTACCAGCCATTGGAAATGGGCTGAGGTTGAATGCTGAAAAAGTGGGAGAAGGGAGAGAGAGATTAGCATCATCTACATGGAGTGATGGTGCAAGATGAAAAGTGAAGGGAGTTGGAGTTAACGGGTGGCTTGAGTCTTCTGACCACTCAAAATGGGCTGGACAACCCCTAAATTTGGAAAATTACTTGAGTAAATATAATTTGAAAATATGAGATTTTGGAAAAAAGGTTGATGCTAAGGATAGGAGATAACTGACCACAGATCCTGGTCAACGTACACACCTGCTAGATGCAGGCCTCCATATAAGCTGGAGGTTTGGACAAGTTGCTACTGGAATCCACATTGTTTGCTGAGACCTCCTGACCAAGACTTTGTGCCAGCCCTGAAAAGTAGAACTTAGAAATTTAAATTACTACTAACACAGGTTGTAAACAGGGGATCCCAGTTTCGTTTGATTATAACAGTAAATGGGAAGTGTTAAAACTGCTGTATACAACACTTCATATATGAACCAAAAATGTTCTTACATTTTTAACCCGGGTTAATTCTTTGTTCTAAAGAATTTTTTGTGTAGCTCCTAGCCATTGACCTTTTCTTCACTTCAGCTTACTTAATCAGAAATCTTCTCACTTTCTGAGATCAAAAATACAACATGGCAGAGGAGTGAATGGTCATGAAGGAAACAAATGCCAGCTAGATTGAGTGCAACCATGCTCATCATCACAATACCAGTGACAAACCAGCAACATGTTAACGAGTGAGAAGTCGGTTAGATGGCAACCATCGTGGTCTGAAGTAACCTGAAGACCGATGTGTTAGTGAGAGGGTTATAAAGATAAGCATTGTTATAATGGTCCAGCTCAAGTCAGCCTTGTGCAATGTTGAAATGACCAAACTAAACTATGTACTTACTTCATCAGTAGAGTTTCAGCAAAACCTGGGCAAATGCTATGCGTTGGAAAGTGGAAAGAGAGTTCAGTCATCAGTCGACTGGAAAAGAGACATTTCCCAATGGTGATATTTTCATCCATGTGCTGATACATCTCGAAGAAAAAGAGAGAGAGGAAGGAAATGTTTGTTTTTTTTTTGTTTTTTTTTTTTTTATAGATTTAAACAATGCCACCTAATAAGCATTTAGTGAAGCCAAATGGGATAATAATGTTCCTGGTTCCTTTATTACTAGCATCATGGAAAAATTATTTACACTATTTACATTGTTTGGACTGTTGTCCTCATCTTTGTTGCCATATTCATAATGTTTCAGCCGTTGTATGCTCCGGCCTTTTTCAGATGATTGGAATTTCAAACTGTACCCTTTATTTCAAAGATGAGCACAATGGTCTGAAAAATGTAAATAGTGTAAATAATTACAGTACCTCATCTCAGAAATACAGACAGATATCATAGGAAAATGTTTGTATTTTTAAAAATTTCATCATCATCATTATTATTATATTTTTTATTTAATTTCCCCACAAATCTGAGCCTTCCCTATACAAACTTTTACATATCAAATTTTATTCAAGCAATTTTTTTTAAACACACCTTCAAAAAAAAAAGTTCAATAAACAAAACTATTCTATTTTATATTTACCCTTTCATTATTTTTATATAAATTTATATTTAATTTTGATCATAAAATTTTTCTAAGGTAAGAGATCTGTTTAAAGGTTTCTAGCAAAAAAAAAAAAAAAAAACTGTTTTGGACTGAATGTTCAGTCTTTTTTTTTTTTTTTAAGTGAGTTTTTCATAATTTTCTCAAGTGAAAATAAGCTTTATTTTTCCATATACTTAAACTTGGGATCCTTGTTGCTTTTTTTCATATAATTTGCATAAAAACAGACGAAAATTTACACGGCCTTAATTTAGAAATGAAAAAAAAAAATCTATTGAAACGTTTTAGTGTGTGTTTCATTTATTACTGTTTCGTTTCGTTTTCTCTGCTGTTTCGTTTCGGTCTTAAACACACTGCGCATGCGCCAATTGTTATTTTCCTCCGGACGATTTCTAGTTGTTTAACACGTGTCGTAAAATTCAAAACAATATATTTTTTTTCCAAAATTTCAGTCGATTTATTAAGAAAAATGTTTTCTGTGATAAATGATAATATATCGCTTTTTTAAAACTATGAATTAACTCGAAACCATCGCAGAAAGCGGAAGGTCTTTTTATCAATGTCCTTCTTTCATTGTTAAACAAAAGAAAGACAAGAAAAAAGAAGCATATAAACATGGAGGTTATTGAAAGCAACAAGAGAGGGGCCAAGCTTTGTCATGAGGGGTATATGTACACGAAAACGGCCGTGAGAAAGAATAAAATTTGGTGGAAATGTTCAAAGAGAGCTAGTCTGAACTGTTGTGCAAGTGTTAGCACGTCGCTCGATTCCAAGAACCCGGTGCCCCGAATCCTTCACAACCATGGACCCGAAGAGGCCGAGATTGAATATGCCAAGTTTCGCAATCGTATGCGAAAGAAACGGACAGAAGAGAAGAACATTACAACAGTCGATCTGGGAAACAATATCGATGTCCTCCAACAACAACAACAACAACAAATGACTTGCCACGTGGATAAGCAAAAAAACACGGACAACAATATCAACCATAAACGAAATATGAAGTTTCCTTTTCGACGTAGGAAAAAAGAAAATACACAAAAAAATAACAGGTTTGTCAACACACCGAATCTTTTCTCCTCTTCTTTTTTTTTTTTAATTATTTTTTTCCCATAATTTTTACGATAAAAGTGAGATGTTGAGTCTCTATCGCGGCATCGGTTTGTGGGTTGAAGGAAGTTATAATCAATTATCATTTCAAGCGATTCTGCTTTCGATGCGAAACATCATTAATCAAAATAAAACAACAAATAGAGTTCGAAATAAAATTTATTTTAAACTGTTTCCATTAATAAAGAAAGACGAAAATCGAGTGTAATCCATTTTAGTGTTTCAGACGATTTCTACTGATTTACCTCCCTTACATTCACCGTTCTATTTTTTAACGGGACTCATATAGTTACCTCCACTAATTCGGTACGTATACCCAATGTTTAAACGAATTTTCATAAATGAAAAATCTTTCTTGAAGTTTTCATTTTAGCTTTAATTGAAAGCTAAAGGATGAAACTTACTATGTCCAGTAAACAAAATACTCTAGTGTATTTCAAACAGAAATTCTATTGGTTGGCGTCGATTCTTTTTGGGGGCTAAAAAGAGCTGATTTTTTTTAAAGCCACCTGTCATCGCAATGAGTTTTTCTTTATTAAAAAAAAAAAATGTCCGAAATGCAATTAAAAACTGTTTTTTCTGTAATTAAAATAAAACAACATAATTTAACATGGTAAATTTCTATTTTAACACCTGCGCTAAATATCCCTTAAAATTTTCCAAAATCTTCATAATTCCGAGCAAATGTACATGCTGGACTCGAATTAACAATTAAATTATGAAGAAACCTACCGTTTTGGAGTTATCGACAAGAAAAAAATCGGACTTCTTGTTGGTCATTTGTCCCCCATTACTGCCATAGTGTTTAGTAATACGGTGCGGGGTACTTACGCTGGCGTAATCAGAAATTGTGGCCTAATTTACTTCTTTTACAGCTATATCTCTTTTTGAAATCACTACGCATTATTGTAATTTTTTTCTTTCCTTTTGATAATTGTAGTGTAGTCTTATTTATAACAGGAAACTTTAAACAAAAACAAATTAAATAATACAATATAAAACCTTTTTTCTGTGTAGAATGCCAATGACAAATTAAAAGAACAAATTAAATAATGAAAATAAAGCATTTTTTTTCATTTTAAAATTGAAAATAAAACAAAAATTAACTGCAAGGAAAGTCTGTAAAAGAAGTAAATAGACCAAAGGCCACGGGAAGTACCCAGCACCGTATTACTAAACACTATAGCAGTAATGGGGGGGGGACAAATGACCAGCAAGAAGTTCGATTTTTTTCTTGTTATTAACTCCAAAATGGTAGGTTTCTTCATAATTTACTTGTTAATTTGAGTTCAGCATGTACATTTGCATGGAATTATGACGATTTTGAAAGATTTTAAGGGATATTTAGCGTGGGTGTTAAAATAGAAATTTACCTTTAGCATTTGGGACTAATAACTATCAGAAAACTGAAACAAATAAAAAAAAAAATGTTGGACCACCTGCATCTTATTATAAAACGCAGATTGTGTGTGTGTGTGTCTGTAACGTTTATATATTGGATCGGATTTCCTACATTTTTCAACTGATTTCAGCAAAACTTCACAGAACTACATAAAATTACCTTGTGGTGGTTCTAACAGCGCTAAAAATGGGAAAAATATAATTGTTTTTGCACAAAATCAATTTGAAAACATGATTAAGAGACATCGTGAAAATGGAAGGGGGACAACTCACATCGGGTTGTTTGTGTGTGTGGGTTCTTTTAAATATGGGATCGGATTTCCTATATTTTTTGGCCGATAAAACAAAACTTCACTTTTTTTTCTTTTTTTTTTTGGCAGGTAGTGTTTCTTATTCTCTTGCACACTTTTTTCTTTACTTTTAACATTCAGAATGCTTTAAAAATTCCATTTACAAGACAATTATTTATAATAAAATTCTATTCAATCGGGAGACTCATAACGATTGAAAACAATGTTTTTGTTTGAGTTTGGGTTTGACCGATTCCTAAAAAAAAAAAAAAAAAAAAATAATTAAGACATGCGTGTTCGTCAACCTTAAACAATGATCTAATGATCTCTACTGATTGTACAAATACAAACATCGGATAAATTCTTTATCTTTAGGGAAAGATAATGAAATCTAAACATACACAAATTCTAACTAAAAATAATAACTGGAATGGGAAACTACTTTAAATACACATGGTGTCCAATTTTTTTACTGTATTCAATAAGTAAAAATCATAAATTGTAAAAGATTATTATTACAGAAAGGCTACTATATGAATAAGATTTGTTAGATCATAATTAATAAACCCAAATAAAGTTAATATTTTTTGTATTAGAAACGAGTGGAAAATATATTCAAATCAGAATTCTAATTATGAATCACCACAAGCAAAATATGCAATTTTTATTACTGTATTCAATAAGTAAAAATCATAAATTGTAAAACTAAAAAGATTACAGAAAGGCTACCTACATTTTTTCAAACCGATTTCAACAAAACTTCACTTTTTTTTTTTTTTTTTTTTTGGCATGTAGTGTTTCTTATTGTCTTGCACACTTTTTCTTAATTTTTACATTCAGAATGCTTTAAAATTCCATTTACAAGACAATTGTTTATAATAAAATTCTATTCAATCGGTAGAGACTCATAACGATTGAAAACAATGTTTTTGTTTGAGTTTGGGTTTGACCAATTCGTAAAAAAAAAAAAAAAAAAAAACTAATTAAGACATGCGTGTCCGTCAACCTTAAACAATAATCTTTGTCAATTTTATTTTTCAATCTTTATGATGGTGGATACTTGATCTATCTCTTACTGTTATATCCCCAGGCAACACCGGGTTCTACTGCTAGTCAGAAATAAAATGAGAATGGGCAATAAATCCATATTTGTAGTATGTGTTTCTGATAAGATTAGAATTACTAACATTGAGTACATAAGGGTTATTGAGTGGATTTATTGTTGGTTTCCTTTCTTTTTCTTAAGAGAATTTCAAAAAACAATAATTATAATAAAATAGTTTCAAAAGAGACACACCATGTGTGTTGTCTGTGTCGTTATTACTGAAGCCGTTATGACCCCACGCAAATTATTATAAAACATGGTGTCAGAAGTGGTTAAGTCAATCTGAGGTTCTGCAAAGCACTCCCCCCACCCAACACCAAAAAAAAAAAAAAAAATTCACTGCCAGCTAAAGCAGAAAGAAAAGAAAATGTTCAAAGTACAAATTGCCTGTTCCTCTCGACTATTTTTAATCCATCAGAGTGGTCAGTATGGTGTTTAAAGATTTGACAGATTTTGACTAGCATCCAAGTTGCATGAAGAGACTGAAACAATTCAAATCTTCACCCTAATTTACTGTGTGGGTGGAGGAGGAGAAAATATATATATATATATATATATATATATATATATATATATATATATATAAAAAACAATTAGATTTCTAAAGAAAGAAGATGAGAATGTCTTTGGCACAGTATTATTAGCAAAATTAAAAGTCTATTTCATTCAAAAGTGAACGTCACCTACAGATAGGCTTCATTCCATTTTAGACCACAACACACCAGAGAATCAGTAATTTGCTAATATGAACGAAGAAATCAAGAATAGTTTATAAATGGATTTCAAGACAATGGTCTAGTAGAACAACTACAGCTAACTTCAGACTTGAAACTCAACAAAGCTTTAGGAATGGTGCAGAGTTGAAAACAAATTGATGCCGAAATGGAGTAAAGACAAGCAAAACTATTGATGTCCAAGAAATAAAATGTCACAACATTGTGGAATACTTTTTAGGGTCACTCTCTGAAGAAAATAGTCAACCTATAGTTTACTAAACTACAAATTTGTGGTACCCTTGTGAAAATTAAAATAGACACTGGAGTAGGCATTAGTGTTATTAGTCGTAACACATATAACAATCTATGTGATAGACTGCTTCTAAGTTTAGTAAAGAGAATTTTTAGGAGCCTTGGCAGTATATATTATCATGCAAAGGAAAATTAAAAATTCCTTGACATATAGACGGAAATACTACTCATTTGAGGTGTACATGATAAACAGTTGGGACATGAAAAATTTACTGTTGAGAAATGTTGCTCCTTTGATGGGGATAATGATTAATGTCAATAAAATCTACAACATATTTGATCAAAGAGGTTACATGAAGAGAGAGATGATGCTAAGCCATACTCTGTTATAACAGCAATACGAATTATAAGTTTACCATGTGTCCTTGTTTTGAATATTGCTGCCACATATGGTCTGGTTCTGCTATATATATATATATATATATATATTCTTGATAAAATCCAAAGAATCATCTGCAATGTTATTGGTCCTGACCTTGCATCTCAGCTTCAGTCACTTTCTCACCACTGTAATGTAGTTTCTCTGTGTCTTTTCTATAAATACTTTGTTTGGATGAATTCTTTGCTATGGTAACAAGACTTTATGAATTTAAGCACTGGACTAGATTGGCAGCTAGGTCTCCTCATTTTACAGTTGAAATGGCTACATGTAACTTAAGTTCTTTGCTAACAGTTTCTTCTATTGCACTTTTTGCTTGTAGAACTTCTGGACTCTTGCTTCCCAGTTAACTTTGATCTTCAAAAATTTAAATGCAATGTCAGTCATTAACTTTTCTCTTAATTCCTGTTCTTTTATTTTTCTCTCTCCTTAATAATGGTTTTCTTTTTCTCATATTCTCTCACACTCTGTAACCCCCTTGTCTCTTAGTGGCTTCATTGCCTTGCTTGGAGTGAAATGATGAAAAAGAAATACTGTTTCCAATTTTAACAAAGGTTAAAACTGAACTTGAATATTAAGAAGTATTATAGAAAATGTCACTCAACCTCCAGACTGTCTTTGTAAAGGAAAAAATTGGCCAATGTGCATATTTATGTGTGCATTAGACGGATGCTCCACTTTGCACTCAAAGAACAACATTCTGTACTATCACACCCTGATGATATTGCACTGAAATTGATCGGAGCAACTGCCTTTTCCAAGCTTGCTGTTACCAAGTGACTTTTACTAGATTCTGTTGGATAAAGAAAACTGGGCAAACTTGGACCTTCCTGCCTGCCTACAAAAAAAAAAAAAATGGTGGTTCAAAAGGACAGTTTTTCCCTTGACACTGCTATTATTTTAACCATCTTCACTCCTCAACAATCATTATTCTTTTAAAAAGCGATTGTTAGAATAGTAATAAACCCTAAACATATAAAAGTGAATTTATACATTTTCTTTGTTTTTGAAAATTGGCAACAAAAATAAGCACTATTAGATTGTTTATTGGAATGGTTGGCAAAACATCAACTAATTAATTACCAATTGATTCAAACTTTATAAAATGGTAAATAATAAGGATTTACTTATAGTTCCTTCTTATATTTTAATAATTTAGTAAATGTTTATAAATTTATGAATAAAAAATTGTTTTCAGACTTATTTTTTCATAAATTGGTAAATTATAATTATTGCATTTGTTTTAATTGTATTAATTTTTTTAATCTAAGAAAGAAATAGTGTTTAATATTTTTGTTGACAATTCTTAAGAACCAAAAAATGTAAAAATTCACTTTCATCATATTTTTACGTTTTATTACACTTCTAATCTTCACTTTTAAAAACAATATAGACATTGCTGAGGGGTGAAGGTAGTTAAAATAATAGTGGTGTCAAAGGAAAAACTGTCTTTTTGACACTCTTTTTTTTTTTTTTTTTTTTTTTTTTTTTTTAATTTTATTGTGGGTATGAATGAAGGTCCAAGTTTGCTGAAAACTGTTTACTAATAATGTTCATTCCACCCTTTGAGTTATATTGTTTCAAACAATTACATTTTGAACTATCATTGGAACCTGAAATATTTCATTGTCATATGTCAGTGATGGTGAACAATTTGGAAGCAGTGGAGATTATCATAGACAACATTTTAATTTCTGGAAGAACAAAGTCAGAACATGATAAACAGTTGTCAATTTAAGTAGTGCTTAATCTTTTGTGAATAACTTTAATACTTCTTGCTTGAATTGCTTTAAAATTCGACAGTTTATACTTAAATGTGTATCACTTTGATATACCAACATATTTAGTGATAAGCAAAATGTAATTATAGTAACAAAGCAATTACGTCAGTCCTCCAGTTTCACTAATGTCTGCACTTCAATAATGACTTGCTTCAGTTATTCAGATTTGATGGATTTCTTAAACTCCTTTTGATAAATCTCCATAAATCTTCTTTTGGATCAGGTCTATTGCAGGCCCCTCAAAATCAGTTATCCTCTTCTTCCTAAGCCATTCTTTTGTAGATTTTGCTGTGTTGGGTAATGCAAGGTTATACAAGAAGATAAATTCATTGTCGCCCATACCTATCCTCTATATATGGAATTAGGAAATGATCAAGGACATTCTAGAAGCAGCATTAGTTGATCTTTTCAAGAAACCAATCTTTCTGATGACAGGCATGACATTCTAGACCAATCTCAGATTTGAGGGAATTCTACACTTTTTATTTTTCTCCAAGCATTTGACATCACATCTTTTATTTGACTTTCTCCAAGCATTTGACATCACATCTTTTATTTGACTTTCTCCAGTTGCTGTTGACACATTCACCTAAGGAAATACAGAATTTTGATTTGCTACTGAATACGACTTGGTTCCATTGATCAGCAGACCAATTTTGATGACAGATTAAAAGCTTTTGTTTCGGCTTAAACGTTAGTAGTAGCTTCAAATTGGTTTCCTGCTGTCATATCCAAAGCTGATGGAATCTCTCGGTTGTTATGGATCAAGAAATAACTGCACCAGGCATCATTTCAACTTTTGGAATTTTCATCACAGTTGACAAATTGATTGGAAATAAATGTAATTTTTTTGTCTCATGAAAAAGCAGAAAAAAAAAAACTATGAAAGGTATAAATACATTTCATAGGTATCATTAACTGTTGTGGTTAAAAAAAAAAAAATAACATCTGACACTTTGTATGATTAAGATTATCTATGTTGTCATGTCATCCACGTTTAAGTCATCTGAAGTTGGTGGGGGTACCTGATTTTAATTCGTTTGTATGAAGTTTTTTAATTTTTTTTTTTTTTTTTTTTTTTTTTCAATAATTCTAATGATGGAAAAAACAAACATTGGTATAATGATTAGCACCAGGTGTCTAAAGGGTAGACATTGCCAAGGGTGTGTCAGTGGGAAAATGATGTGAAATTTTAGTGTGCAAAATCTTACATGTGTCCATCTGCCACTTGAAACACTCTGATAAAGGGCTTGGAATATGATATATTAAATTTGAATTAGTCTGTTATATTTAATATGTAATTGTAAGTGTAAGCGTTCTCAAAGCAAATTTGTTGCAGATTACTTTAACAAAGCGTGTAACCAGTCAGGAAAATAAGTCACTCTCCCAGCAAACGCCGTAGCCAAAAATGCCTGAATTTTCCTCAATGTCACTTTTCTGTTCTTTACTCAGCTGCCTATACACAGCAAGGGCACCGCCATTCAATCGCAGTGGAAGAATCCGTTCAATCTTCATGATCTCGCATAATTCGCAGACCAGTTCCACCTTTTCGATCCATTCAACCACAGACTGTCCACTCATATCACCACTGAATTCGGGGATCAGTTTTATATCGAACGGTCTTTCTGCCATCTTGCGAGAGACAAAGTAAATGCTGAAATCTCTTCAATGGAATGCAAAGGTATTGCATTTATTCACGGATTCCGCATGCATGTATAAGTGGATAGCAGACACTCTTACGGGGAAGGCTAGGATACGTTACAAAGGCTGCGGCGAGATGCTCATTCAAGGCTGCTAGACACACTGGGAAAGTTGGTAAGTGAATACCACTTATCCGTAGAAATACAGCTGGTCAGATCACAGCAGAACAAGGCCGATACTTTAACAAGGGTACCCCAAAAATGGCTTGACTCTATTAAGAAAGAGGTAGAGCCGGTGGGACATTTTCCCGTGGGCGGGTGGATCCACATTGCAACTGCATTTATTAAGCATAGGGTGACTGCTGTCACTTCCGGCTGGGATGACACAACAAATGATGCTCCCCTTAGACACATGATAGCGGAAGTCATTACTAGGGTGCGTCAAGACGACCCCGTACGTGTCTCTTGAAGTAGGTGCCCGAACGCGTCAAGGAAGAATACCAGCGCGAATTGCAGGTGTGACTTTATTTGCTTTCACTACAGTAATTAATCAAGATTTTATCTTATTTTATTTTTTTAACTTTGATGGGAAAGTACAATTTACAACATTCTCAATGGAGGGATGATTATTTCCTGTAAAAACTGATAAGTGTGATAACAGCATTTTTTTTTTTTTTCCTTGTTACTGTTTAGATATGTAAGTTGTTTGGCTGAGTTTTTACTCTCTCATTCTGTTCTTATCACAACTGATGTATTGTGCCAGTTAAGAGAAATTTTGTTATCTGATGATGGGGCTTGATGCAGAGGAAAATGGTTTTATGGCTTTGAAAGGTTTTCATTTAAAGTGAATATAAATAATCTTGGTCAGCAGAATTCAAATTTGTCATTGCATTTTACAGTCAGTTATGTGCCATGCATGATACACGCTTAGGCAATCATGTATCTTTCAATATATGGCTGACAAGGTAGATTTTTTTCCCACAGTAGGTTGCCATTTCTTTCTGCAGTAGACCAGTTGCCATCCAAGGCTATAGAACCCGGTCTGTCTTGCTATTTATCCATAGCTAAGGTGAGAAGAGGATTCATACCTTTCCTAAGAGTATTAGCAAACAAGTGAATGTAATGGATTTGAAAAGAAAAGTTAAAAAGGATGATCATTGCTATTTTATTGGCTGAGTAGCTAAGGTTAAAAACTATCCTTTGCAATAAAATGTTATAATTTTATAATATTTTCTTGAAATTTTGATTTGGAAACAATGAAGTTTGATTTGTGATGATTTTATTTTTCAGTGCCAAAGACCTAACAGAAAGCAGAAACAGATTCATAAATGTAAGTAATTATATTCAATATTGTAAAATCCTAATTTGATGCAAACAATTTGATATGACAAGGATCTCAGTCAATTTCATATTGTCTTCTTCTGTTGTTAGTATTTTTTTGCATATTGTTTTAATTAAAATCTCAATTTAGTATGACTCACTTTTCTTTTTTTCTTAATGACACAACAGCTTTCTTCAGGTGGTTGGAATTTCAAACTGAACCCCCCCCCTCTTTATTTCATCCACATTCCCCTCTGCCGGGATGTCTTAGTATCAGCTATTGAACTCATAACTCTTTGAGTTAAGTAACTAGATTCAACCAGTGCTTTTATCCACTGGGCTGTTTGTTTGAGTATCTTTTATTATTTTTTTTTTTTTTTTAACCAGAGCTCATATTATAATTTTGTTGTTATTGTTTTTCTCTCGCCCTCTATATTACTTGTTCCCATACTCTATTCATTTTTATGCTTGGTCAGATAATAAATTTTTGTGGTCTAGTATATGTGCTGATTCCTTAAGTTTTCATATTTTCTTGTCTATTATTTCAACCTCATCCGACAGAGTGGTGATCTTCCTTTTCCTTCCATATGTAGTCAGCTATTCCTGATTTTTCTCTTTCTCTTTCTAGCTTTATGTTGTTCCTGCAGTCTTAAGGGGGGGGGCTGTTTCTCATATTTCCTACCACTGCTGCATGTGATCGCATGCACACAGTCCTTAATTATGTTCTCCTATATGGGAGGTTTTGCTCAGAAGAGGTGTCTGCAAAGTGTTTTGAAGGTTGTCCTGATGTTATATGGACCACAGATCTTTTGTATTTTTTCTGATAATCCCTTCACATATGGTAGGCAGACCGAGGCTGGTTTCTAAGTGTTGTTATTCTCTTGTACCCTTGTATCCCGTTGCTGTTTACACCCAGGGTAGTTGTTACATTGTAGGGTACTGGTTATACTGACCATTTTTTGTTCATATGTGTCTGGGTTGCCACTTATGCTTGATGTTGTAAGAAGTAGACGATCCTTTTCTTTACACTCTATGGGTGATGGGAGTTGAGGTATTGTCTGGTGAATGTTGGCTTGCAGTATAGAGTTGTCTTGAACTCATGCTCTGTTTGAGATATTAGTACATCCAGTAATGCTAATTTGTTGTTGTTTTTTCTCTCTATTGGGAACTGTATTGATGATCTTATTGAGTTCACATGGTCCAGTAATAGCTGGACCTCTTGCTGGTGTGGTCAGAGTATGAAGGTGTCATCTACATATCTCAACTATAGGGTTGGCTTAGTGATGTGGATTCTAATGCCATTTCTTCAAAGTATTTCATGTATATGTTTGCCATTGCTGGTGAGTATATTGCTAATCCTTCATCCTGCTGATAGATGTCTTATCCCATTCCAAAGTGTGTTGTTTGTGTAGAGAAAGTCAATATTTCCATCAGGTTATCTATTGTTATACTGGTCCATTCTCCTAGGGATAAGTTTGGTGCCAGTCTGTCTCTGACTACTGATAGTGGTTCCTCCATTGGCGAAACAAAGAGTTCAGTTTGAAATTCCAATTGCCTGAAGAAAGCTGGCATGTACATTGTGAATATGGCAACAAAGATGAGGACAACAGTCAAAACAATGTAAGTAGTGTAAAAGATTAATACAAATATAAAATTTGTCACTTAGCTGATTGATTCAGCACCTCAACTCTGGAGTTTTGTCGATGTCAAGTGATGTCATTGCTATAAAAAAGAAGCTTGACACCCACAAACAACTGTCTATTGATTCTGTCAATTCAACCAATCAATGTAACCCCCACAAAATAGATTTTTTTTTATTTGGATATATGTTGTAGATATTATACTCATTAGAAAATCATGAGAATTTGAAGTTGAATATTCCTAATCATTTCTAAGATATCACAAATTGAAATATTGCTGAATCAGCATTTTTAATTGACAGACATTTCCATTTTCAAACTCAAAAATCTCAGAAAACCCTTTATATCTTCTTATCCATTGGCCAGAAATTAATAGAATTGATACCCTTATAGATTTTTAGTCATGGAATCCAAATATCCGTTTAGAATGTTACAGGGAATAACCAAAAAGTAGATATTAACAGTTTTTTGGGGAAAAAATGAAAATTTTTAAGCAGATGACCACATGGAAAAGTTGAGAGATATCATCTTCAGCCCCTAAAAGTAGCAAAAAGTTGCACAACATTTGAAAACTAGACTATTTGCGGAATAAATCCCAATAAATTTCATTAACAGTCTCTCATGGGGATTTAGGTGACCATATGTAAGGGGTGATGTGGTTGCAGAAATTGTCTGACAGCCATGACTGGGTTCTCCTGTTTGAAGGCTCCTGTTCCTAGACATGGGGTCTCCTAGGCAGCACTACCTCCTCAAGGCACTTGATGGAGGCTTCCATGTTGAGTCTGAGTCACTGTGTGAAGATTAATGGAGACATAGCATCGCCATCACGTGATCACTCCAAACACATGATGTTTACTGGATATATCATCCAACTCTCCAAATCATCAGCACTGTCTTCAGATTGACACTCTAACACTCTGAAATGTTTGTTTTGGTGCTTTTGTGCACACGAAGGCCAAGCAGTACAGCATGCTGTTTCTAAATTTCTGGTGGAGTGAATTGTGTCATAGTGCTCTTTTTCTCACAGACAGTGCCCAACTGACCCTACTAGACTGTACCATCGACAAAATGAAAAACAATGTGCATGCACAAAATTTATAATATAAAATGGTGGCAATTTACCCATTACACTCTCTCTCTATATATATATAATATATATATATATATAATACCAGGCTTTGCCTGTTCACTATCGCTTTGCAAAGTAAGATATATTCACTACTTGAAATCCTTGAAACAAAAAATTTAAGTGAACATTTCGTTCATAAATTGGCTTGTTAAGGAAAGTTTTATAAATAGATGCCACCTTGTTGATGGCCAAGTAAACTGCATCTTTCAAACACTTTTCTGCACTATATAAGAAAATATTCCTAAATAAAACTATTTTTGATACAAAACTCAAAACAATCCTTGAATAAAAGAATAAAAGAACAGTAATGAAGGACAGTTAATTAATGAAATATACTTTTTTAAAATTGGTATGCAAATTATTTAAACCTGAAGAGTGATACCACCTAGAAGTAGATAATATATAATACAGATATTGAACTATTAGTGTGTAAATTACTATAGTAATTTATACTCTTTATTTATCATCTCTCAGTTGCGTCAGAGGGGCAGCTGAGGAAAATTATACTGAAAAGGTGCCCAGCCCTGGGAAACAGCTGCCCATGGCCGTGCCCTCCCATAGCACAAGAGGGAGGGATCAGTGCTCGCACAGAGGCCATCGCAACCAACGGTTGTGGGGGCTGTGGTGTATTTTTGTCCCTTGCCCGAGTGTATACACTCGGGTCCCCACTTTAAAAAGACCTTGTGTCACATCTCGTTCTGGTGGGGGAATGAGTAAACACCACATAAAATACTATAGACTTGGGGCTTTTTAACCACATTTAATTTGTTGGATATTTGTGCTCCAATTTTGCATTTATTCATATAGACTCCATAATATAGGTTTTACTTAGTTATTATGTTTCTCTAACTCTTCAAATGTTGAATGTATAACTAATTCTAATTTCTATTTTCTCATCTTCACACGATATTAATTTTATCTTATAAATTGTCCCCTGTTCTGTCACCCATGAAATAAAGATAATTGTTTGTATGGAAAATAAAGACCTACGTACATCAAATTGTCTGGCAGTAGAATTATCACTGAACTTTTAAAAGGTAAATTTAAACATTAATTCAATACTTAAATGGAGCGATCAATTTTGAGTTCTTTTGTAGTTTATTGATGCCTATCGCATCTACTTCTCCCTAGGTATTGTGATGATGGCCAAACCAAGAATCCTCTACAGGAGCTAGCTTAAATGCCACCTAATAGGACAGCTTTTAAGCTAGTTATAATAAGATGTGCACTGCAATTTTGGATACAAGAGAAAAATAAGAGTTACTTCCCTTAAACCATGAAGGCAACGATAATGTTTTAAGTAGGTACCTCCATGAAAACACTAAAAAATCCGTATACTGTAATGAAAACCTAGTTCTATCATAAATCTTTATTATTAGGAGGAAGGATCAAAGTATTTTTTAATTATTTAATTAAATTTTTTTACTCCTTTTTAGAACATTTGAAATTTTGATTTTCTTGTCTCAGCAGTTGTACTAACTTTTAGCATAGCAAATTTTGGCCTTTTTTTGCAGTGACATACACATTAATTTGGAAATTCTTGCAAAAACCAAATAATTATCAGATTTTAATGAAATTTTCAAGACTTATTTACAAATGAATAAAATTATTTTCGAATTTTCTTTATAAGAAAATCTTAGTAAAATTATTTTTCTTTTCTTTTTTTTTTTTTAACATTTGTTTCAGCCCTTACTTAATTAAACTTGAGAAATTCATAGAGATAATTTTTTTGTGACTAAATTAATTAAATGCAGAATTCTTTGAAGAATTTAAGTCACCGATATTTTTTTATTTCCTTTTTTGAAAATTGCGCACACAGTCTCACTGAAAATCTGTTTTGAATTGAAGAATAAGACACAATAATAAAATTTTATTTAATTAGATAAACTTTTAATTGTTTTTATGAATAATATATATTAAAGACAATATTGTTTGAAGAAAAAGAACTTTTTGATGAAAAACAAATTTTTACAAGATTTGTTTTAATTTTTTTTTAACAATTTTGAATTGAATAATTTATAGTTTTAAATCTTTTAAAATTCATTTTCAATGAGATAATTCTTAGGAAATATTGTTATTAAGCAAAACTATATTTACTAATCATATATTGTAAAGCTTATTACAACCCGAATATTTTTAAAAGAATTTCGATTTGTTTTTGTATGCGTGATTACGTGCAGAATTTTCTGAATGTACAAACTGATAAATCTAGCATTTAAAGGTCACATGTTTTAAGGGTTG